AACTAATGATTATTTTAATTACATTTTAGATTTTTTTATATTCAAAATAAGATGTATATCATGTATTTGATTATGTTTATCTATAGTTAGTTACATAAATTAAAAAATGAAGCCTTAATAAGGGTGTGTTTACTTGGGGATTAATGAGCTTAATCAATAAATGGGCTTATTTTTCATAGCCAAAATGGTGTGTTTACTTGGGGCTTATTCGCACAGATCAAAAATTGCCCTTGTCCACGTTAAGTCCAAAAAAAGACACTCAGGGGTAAAACACACGCCTCTCTCAATATAGCCTATCATCGACGAACCCTATCTCTTCTTCATCAGTCGATTGCGAGCTGCTTCAAATCGATTGCGAGCTTCAAATCGGTAACTTGATATTTTTGTTTGCTTTTGGTTTTGCTTCTCTATTATATCTATCAATTTTGCTTCTCATTGCGCCAGATTTTTTAGAGATTTTGACAGCCCCTGTGATTCATGTCCAGAACCCTAAATAGAAGAAAAGTTTCTGTGAAAATGAATGTCAAAGAAATGAATGTCCAGAACCCTAAATGAAATAGGAGGAGTTCTGTGAAAATGAAATCATGTGCCACCCATGTGAAAAGTTCTGTGAAATGAAATAGGAGAAATGTTCTGTATTTGTCAAAGAAATGAATGCCCAGAACCCTAAACGACTGTGAAAATTGATTTGCTTCTGTATTTGTGCTTCATAATTATTTATATTTCTGATAGAAGAAAAGTTCAATAGGAGCTTCTTGATTGACCAGATGTCATATTATAAAGCTTATGTTTGCTTCTCCATTGCTTCTGTTTTCTTCTATTTTAATCTATTAGTCTACAGCTTCTGTTCGCTTCTCCATTGCTTCTTATGTTATTGTATCTATTGGAAAATTATTTGAATGACATTTCTTCATCCTCAGGGGTAAATTGGTTCTATTATTCAGACTGTTGATTCAGATAGAAAACTAAACAGCAACATAAATTTATCCAAACAGACAAATTTATATATACAAGACCTAATAGAAAATTTGGTAAGCAGCCCCTAAGTTGTACATGCGCACAATTTTTACTTGTGATCTTGAATTTTAAGTAATATGCATCAACAAACAATATTTTATGCATAAAAAATGGTTTTTAAATTTTTTTTGTTAAATGTTTAATAATATAATATATATATATATATATATATATATATATATATAGATCGTTTATTATACGAAATATTTAATGTAAGAAAATAATACATTGTAGGCAATGAGACGGAGAAAATATTATATGTCTTATTTATTAAGTTATGTGGTTAAAGTAACCGCTCTTAAAAAGATATGTTTAACACCTAGAAACCAATTTTTTCTAACTTTCCGTCTTCATTCAGATTTTAAATGAATAAAGTAAAACATAATGTGAACTTCTTTGCTAGTTTGGAGCCGTTTATCAAACGCTTACCCGAGTAAGTACTTACCAAGTCATATTACCTTACCGGATGAATATGATAAGGACTAAGAATCTTACCTGTTAAGAGCGAGACAAGTACCAAGAGTCTTACCCGGTAAGTAAGGGCAACGACTCTAACCACGGTAAGCGCTTACCGGGTAAATTGTTGCATACGATGTCGTTTTGGTAGACTAAAATCTTACCGGTAAGTAAATGATAGTGTTAAATTTTACCGGTAAGTAAATGATAATATTAAATTTTAGCGGTAAACGGTTACTAGGTAAGTGTTTGGTAAACAGCCCCTTAGAGTCCTAAGTTCGAGATCTAGGGTTAATACTTTTCACTTATAGCTCTCTCCCTTGTTGCTTCTTCACAGAGAGTTGCAACCTCCGGATCTGGTTCACGGGCAGGGACAGACTTAATATAGTGGTTACAGTGGCATGTGTCACCGTATTATGCCTCCGTCGAAGGGTAAAAAAATTTAGGTTCGTGAAAGGTGCAACCGTATTAATTTGTTGTACACCACAGTATGTATTTAGAAACTACAATGAGAACAAATTTTATTTGGTAAAGTTGGTTTGAAAGGCTTTTATTCCATCACAAACACAAGTTCAAATCCTGTTAGTGTCATTTTTTTTAATCAAATGGTGCCACCATTTGGAAAAAAAATCCGTATATTTGTTTCTTATAATTAAACGGTGTCAACCTTTGAAATTTTTTACCTATATTTTTTTCTTAGTCAAATGGTCTCACCGTTTAGAAAAAATTATTTGGATCCATCCCTGTTCACGGTTTATTATTTAGTTGTGTTTTTGAGTTGCAACGGTGTTGGGAGAGGAAATAGCAGAGAGAGGGTGGTGGTGGTTGTCACAGTGTTAAGTATTGAGTTGGAATAACAATGAGGGTAGCGGACAACGGTGTTTGGGTTGTATTGGTTGTACAAATATGATGAGTTACATTTAAAACGTCCTCTCTCTCTCCGTCTCCCCCCCTCTCTCTCTCTCTATATATATATATATATATCACTGATTGATAATGAATAATAAACATTTATCCAATTTCGTCATTAGCCCAATGGGCATGTGTAAAGAAGCAATACAGTCAACAAACTGCCAATTTGAAATGTTCAAACGGCAGACTAACTATTTCTAGACCGAACTAGGCTATCAAACCAGAAAAAACGAACAAGGTTCGTTTGATCCAACCAGTATTCACGACCCATCGGCTTTTTAACACCATTACATGAATTGATCCAACCAGTATTGACGGCCCAAATTTATTCAACCGGTTAGAAATTTTTCAAACTAGCTTACTATAATCTGATTGGCAAGTCGTTTGAAAATTGTCTAATTAACCAGCGACAGGTGTCAGTTTGAAACACAAATAATCCATTGCACCAACTATGAGATTGGTACAACAACTACAAGTTATAAAATCATCTTCAATATGTATGCTATATTTTATCTGTTCTTTTAAATTTGGATGTCCCCCCCCCCCCCCTCTCTCTCCTTTTCTTCTTTATTTTAGAAGAGATTTTTTTTGATTAACCTGGATATCCAACCCGCTATGCAAGCCGACTAATCTCAGTGCGACCACATGCTTTGCAGATAGCCTGGAGTCACTGCATTCGAACCTCCGTGGCCACATGGGGATTTTTATTCCTCCTTGGATTTGAACCTATGACCTTCTAGTACTTTTGACATTTGGAGTCAAGTTCAAACTAATCAGACACCATCCTTATGGTTGAAGAGAAATTTAATATGATTGTTGAAACAAAAAAATTTCAAATCTCCAAAAATTCTAAAATAACTGTACACTAAATAAATATCAAGCTCATAAATCTTTAGTCAAACAAGTGATATTTTTTTTGTAGATTTAGGGCATCGATGATAAATGATGATAGATGTTCCTAAAAGATCTTTGTCTTCTTTCATTAATGAAGTAGATCTTTTTGATGGGGTTATGCCCACCATATGAATTGTTTTGGAACATGAAGATCACTTGAGGGAATTGTTCAAAATAACTATTTTTTGACCCCTCAACCCACTTTACAGGTGTTTTTTTTATACAGTTGATTTTAATAGTCATGATTTTATAAGTAGCATTTTAACAACTTGCGAATTCTATTTTTTTTATGAATATAATATTTATAAAGTAGTGATTTCACAAGCCGTTATAATGCTATTTGTGAAATGCTGACGTGGAAGGGGTTATTTGTTTACCTTTTAACAGTTCCATTAAATAGGCAACATCTGAATCGTTAATAGGTGAATCTTGTTTGGTAAAATAAAAAGTTTGTCTCTTAATGGTTCTAAAATCATCTGAATGATTTTGTGTCTTGGGGTTCAGCGCCTTATTTTCATTGTAAACAATTACCAAATAATTGTATTTTATTTTGCACGATGTCATGAGAGTCTTAATCATTCTGCACCAAACCATTCAGTAACTGCCAAACAACCTCGAAATGTTATGCAACTTATTATAGTGTTACTCTCTGTCCCAAAATAAGTGTCCACAATTGAAATAACATACAGTCTTAGGCATACACAATTAATTAATTATTACATTTTTTTTATCAACCAAATGACATATTTACCCTTATTTAACTTCTCTCTCCCTCTCTCTTCAAAATTCTTATATATTTGTGCACTATTTAAGAGTAAATTTGTTATCTACTTTTGAAAGTAGACCCTTATTTTGGAACATACATAAATAAAAATGGTGGGCCCTCAAACACTAAAAAAATCTCAATTTTTACGTCCTCTTAAAGAATGGTTAGCCTATGGTTTGCCGTGCGTTTACCTTTTATGCCGTGCGTTTACCGTTTACAACGCATGTTTTGCCGTGCGTTTACCTACACCGGCAAAGAATAGTCCCTTTGTTGTGTCGTTCAAGAGGAAAACGGCAAAAAGGAGATTTTGATAGCTCCGGTGTGTGAATGCTAGTTGTCATGATCTTAACAACTTGCAAAAATACTACTTTGTGAATTCTAGATTCATAAAAACGAATTGCAAAAGTGCTATTTCTATCGGATTCTTCAAAATCCAATATGGATTACAGATTATATACCGAACTTCAGAACCAATTTTGTTTTGGATCGGAGATATCGGTATATTAGAAAGGGAATTTTCAGATGAGTGGGAAATTTAATCCGAAATTTGAAGATTATCACTAAAACGTTGAATTTGATCAAATGAAAGATTGAATAAATGAAAAACGAGATTATTGAAGAAAGATCGATTCATCAGATACAAACCTGAATTAATCCAATAATTTCAAGCGATAGAAACTGTACCAGATCTAACCGATAGCATACGTATGTAGATTGGTACGGATCGTAGGAATATTTAGGGAGTGTTGCCGCTGTCGGAGGAGGGAGTTGCGGCTTCGGGTGCTTCCGGCGGCTTATTAGCAGTGTCGACATCGACGTCATCAGGATCACGAGTAGGGTCTGACTTGTCCATGGAGGCTCGAGCCTTATTGAGCCACGGCTTGAAAGCTAACTCAATCGCCGCCCAACCAAAAGCTACGGCTCCGAATACAACCACCATAGATTTCAGAGGCGTTGATTCTCCTTTCGCCATATCGATTTTCACTTTTCTCTGAAGCAAGAAAACCTCAATCTCGAGTGAAATATGAATGAAACAATTTAGGGCAAAATTGAAGGACAGGGGACCACATAACCCCCAATTTTCGTTTCTTCTCCTCCAAGTGATGAACCGACCAATAAAATTGAAGGCTTCCTCGAGTAGATAACCTCTGCATGTAGTCAATTGGCCAGATTTGATATATGTTTATCCTTTTTCTGTCGTATCCTACCGGTAGAATCATCTAGGCGTTCTACAAAACGACATGTATCGATCTGGATTCTAATGGATAACATTTTTTCAATCGATTGAAACAGATGCTACGGTTCCTCCTTTTTCTTTTCGTTTTTTAACCAAAATATGCATTAATCTCAAAATCAAAATTGTAAGAACATCGAGCTAAACAAAAGTAAAGGAAGACGACATGTACCGATCTCGATTCTACTGGATAACATTTGTTCGATCTGTTGAAGAGATCAGATGCTTTTTTGTTTCATTTTTGGACCAAAATATGCGTTTGAATTGGATCAAATTGATCTCAATATCAAAATCGCAAGAACATGAAGCTAAACAAACCTGAACAAGAGGAAGTAGAAGGCGTGGTGGACTGGAGGATCAGGAAGATAAGCAAAAGTTTGCTTGCTGCTACTTGCTAATTATTGATAGCAATCGAATTCTCACAGAAAAGGTCACTACAACAAAAAAGGGCCGTTTCAAAAATTCCTGCAAAATCGATGATTGTTTTATAGTAATATTTTTTTGTTAAATGGGCTATTTTAAGATAGATTAACATCGAAAATATCCAATACAGGGTGTTTGGGCTTTGCTTATTTAAAATAACTTATGTTTTTTTAATAAAATTGTTTATCAACTTATTGTAAGTTAGAATGATTTAACTTATTCAAAAAAAAATTATTATCGGTTTGACAATGATTTAACTTCTTCAAAAACTTTTTATTATCGGTTTGACAATGATTTAACTTCTTCAAAAACTTTTTATTGTCGGTTTGACATCAGTATAAGTTGTTTATCCAAACACTCAAAAATAGATAACCAGTGTCATATCTGAATAAATCAATAAATTATTTTTATAAGCAATCTCAAACTCTTCCATAATATTCAAAAACAAAATTAATATATCTAAAAATTCTGAAGGCATCCCCAAGACTCCCAACTGCTTTTAGAGAAACAAAATCTAAAAATCCAAAAATTTACATTTAATTTGAACAAAAAAAATTATTTTACACGTAACATTAATTATATTAATAAAATGTTTAATACATTTAATAAAATATTATTTATCAAATCAATGATAATTATTTTTGGACAAGTTACATGAAAAAATAACGTACTTTAACTTGATTTCTATTTTAAGTAACGTACTTCCAAAACTTCTATTTCGATACTTAAGATGTAAAGTTTTAAACATTTAAGCATCCGGATAACCAGTTGAAGACTAAACTTAGATTAAAAAAATTTCATGTCACTAACCACATCAGCAAAGAATACCAAGTTGGATACCACATCACTCGTTACATCAACATGATAACCGGTTAATGCTTCAACCAGTTACCCGGATACTTAAATGTTTAAAACTTTACATCTTAAGTATCAAAATAAAAGTTCTAAAAATACATTACCCAAAATAAAAATCAAGTCAAAGTACGTTACTTTTTCATACAATTTGCCTATTACTTTTAAAAAAAGTTTTGGTAATTTTCACATGCTCTATGCTACTTTTTTTGAAAAAGGTTTTGATGAATCTGATCAAACAAAACCATGACCAAAATTCCTAAAATCTAATTTTTTGGAGATGCTCTAACTTTGTAGAAATAATGAAATTACAACCTAAATTTGTAGAAATCAGTATCAACGAGAAATGGCATCTAAGAGAAAGTAACTTGCAAAATGATCATCACATCCATATTAAGAGCATTATCACAACAACTCTCCAACAATACAACTGTTTACAAAACCAGTTATCACAACGATCGAGAGAGAATCAACGACCTCGGCCACGACCGCGCCCGCGCCCACGTCCCCTTCCACGTCCCATCGGTCTCCCTGAAATATTTTATAACGAATACGTATGTCATACCCACTTGACCTTAGCTTTCTAAACGATAAGTACATTTTTTTTAAAGTATATATTCATTTTGTCCCGAAATAAATGTCAATATTTCTATTTTAGTTCGTCCCAAATTAAGTCGATCTTGAACACAAAATATTCGACTCGGTTTAACTTAACAAGCCGAGTTTCGTAAAAACCAATGTTCGGCTCGGCTTGTTTGAAAAATCAATTAAAATTTTCAAGTCCAAACGAGTCATTCAAACATACATTTTTTCGAACCTAACATGCTCATAAGTTCATTAACCATTAAATAAAAATATAAAAATTTATCGACCTCAAGCCAATAAACGAGTTAATCGTCGCGAGTTCAAGCCCATAAACAAGCATCGATCTCGAGCTCGATAATTCAAAAATATTCTAGCTCGAGCTCGAGCTCGAGCCTTACTTTGAAAAAGTTATTCGAGCTCGAGCTTTAGTATTATTTACTCAAGCCGAGCTTGAAGAACCTCCTACTCGACTGGACTCGGCTCGATTAAATCCTTGGGCTTGAACCATTGACCTCCACGGATACCGCTGGGCCAACGACCCTTATGGTTAAAAGGAAGTTTGTTGTCAGATTGAGATTTATGAATACCTGCAGTTGGTTTCTTTGGTTTGACCCTAGGCGTTTCTTCGACCAGCAGAGTCTCGAGATTTAAGCTGTCGGGAAGGATATAGTATCGAATGTTGTTTCCCCTAACACTCAAGTGATCTAAGGTCACTGGATTCTTTCCCTTAAGGGTAAGTTTAACCGTCTTCAAGTGAGTGTTCATACTAATATCCACACCTGCAAACCCAGCCATGTAAGATAAAAGTTTAGGTCAGAATTCAAGATTGGTGAAAACAAGCTTTGTCGTCTTTTGAGTTTCAAAAGTAGTTCAAATTATGGGTACGTAGATATATGAAATTTGAGTGTTTGACAAGTGGTCTGTATCCTAGTTACCGATTTGTCGACTGTGAAAAGCAAGCACCAAAAATACAGAAATGTATGTTTCCGGTTTACATCCTTGCAGAGTCCAAAAGTTTCTTTATGTCGTCTTTTTAAAGGGCGTTTAAGAGATTTGATCATCGGTCAAACGTTATATTAACTATCTACAAGTCGAATGAATAAAGGACAAGCCCTTGGTAGATAATAATCATCCCAAAGTGAAATGGTAAACCCCAATAGAAGACGTGAAAAGGACCCCACCCCACACAAAGCATTCTAGAACTCTGAAAAGTGTCCACCACACATCCGTATCTAATAACTGCCAGCAATTACGCAAAATTTAAACTCATGGTCGGCAACTTGACATCATTATCTACCAGTTTTAAGATCATCTGATTGGAGTCAATCTCACAGTTTTTTGCACCATTTGGGGACCTCCTAACACTGATTATGGCACTGACTTCCTCAAATTTACACCATACAGTGCCTTTTTATCCAATATCAGGGGGATATATAACCTATTTAGGCAAAGATTGAAATTGTATTGATAGCATCTAATACAATTGCAGGGAGGCCAGAAGCCCTCCAAAGCTATATTGCTACGTGAAGTTCACACCTAAAGCTGAAACATTGAAACTGCCATTGATTTGTTGAAACTGCTATGGATTTGAAGTTGACATTGAGGGTGGCTATAGGAGTGGAAGGACGAAACTCGAAAGTGAGGTAGGCAGGTGAAAGGACTATGCAAAATTTTAGGGGTTTAATTTGAAATGGGTAGTTTAGTAATTTATAAATCTTGTCCATCTCCCTCTTTTTTGTTCCACCTATTTTTGTGTGACAAAAAATGCATTTGTCTCATTCATTCATGTCCTGTTCCAGTCTAATATCGCACCAAATATGGGACAAGTTTTTGGTATGTCATATCACGTCCTGTCTCGTGTACCAAATGCACATTGGAAAAGAATTGCAGTGACAATGGCTGTCCAGAAGGAACTTTTTGTTATGTCGTGGCAGCAGAGCTTGGATATAGAATTGAGACACCATTCATGAGATTTATCAAGGGATTTGGAGAAAACTACCAATAGAAGAATTTCACCAGAGACTAGGACCGGATGTGCAAAGAGATGAAGAAACACCAGCATGGAGCCTACAGGTCTCACACCAGTAATAGTTGATGGAAGGGAAATCCTATGACAATCTGTCTACCATCTTGAATGACTTCTGGAAGGAAGTCCTCGGCCGCCAAATGGAAGGGATGATCAGGTGGCCCTCTGGACTCCCGACCTAAAGCTGGTGACTGGAGGGGATTTTGGATTTTTGAAAAAAATAGCCCAGAAAACCAGGGATCAATGTAATTGAACAAACATCAACAACAACAAAAATCCTAAAAAGTCAAAAGTTGAAAATGCAAAAGCTTATGTTACTATAAATTTTCTAAAAAGTAATAGCTTAAATTAACTTTGGAACTCCTAATCCATTGGTGCTCAGCAATTTGACTAAAAGAAAACTGAAATTTAATACCAAAATATCATTTAAGTTACAAACATCAATTGATACAAAGCCATTAACACCTAACCAAAGTTAAAGATGGCAAGTACTATTTTTCCTATGATACTCTTGAAATAGAACCAATAGTACAACTTCTGAGCTCCTATCCATACTAACATTGGTTCAAAGCAAATTACCGCAAAGAAACTTATTTCTATATTGTCCCATGAAATGAAAAGTATTGTACGCTAGTTCTATACCATACAACTCAATTTTATAATTACACTTCTTTACTGCTTTAGCCAATCTCAATGCCCACATACTTAAGAAAACACTCGATAGATTATAAAAAAAAGCATTTTCAAGAATTATTAAGTGAGATATCAATGCCTATGCACTGGTCCCTTCAAGTTCTATTCCATGTACTTGAACAATTTAATTGATCAATTTATTGACCGGCCAATCTTACAAGTAATTATCATCTTGCAAAGTCCATTTCCAAATTCCATTGCTAAAACAAATGTTTTTATTTACTTTTTCTTGCACTTGTAAAAATACTAGGTGTTACAAAATCACTTCTTTGCTGAAGCTGAAGGATCAAAAGTGAAAGATATCAGTTATGTTAAGATTGAAAAAAAGACAATATATGAAATACTTAAAAACACCATCCTCTAACGTATACCATTATCATCTTGGTCTTAGAAAGAATAACATGAATGAAAAATTGCGCAAGACATTTGACTGATATTTCAGTGTCAAAAAACAGACACCAAATGGCATTATTTGCCTTGAATAAAATTTGAACTTCAAATCACATCACCAGGCTATAGGTTTGGAGAGCAAACCTACTTTAATAAGATGTAGCACAAATATGGGCTTCTAAAAGCAAAACCTTAATAACATAGGACTTGTCACAGAAGGCAACCGTGGCATTTTGCATGTTTTATTTGAAAGCATGATGCAGCATTATTGGAATAAATACTCATACAAGACATGCAAGTGCAGTCGCTTAACACCCAAAGAAATGAATTACTTGTACAAAACTGTTCAAGTAACATTTCAAGAATTAAAACCATAGCCATGAAAAGCCACATATTTGGTCCAGAATGCTAACCTAATCTCTAGGCAAGCTGTATGATAAAGGCATCGTATAACAGGCTTTGTGGCCAAGGTCCAGATATGACTAACATTAATGAGCATACATAAAAAGCATGGTTGGATTAAGAATAAGATCAAAACATGATATGGTCAATTTATGAAACCGTTGTTCTACTTCATGACTAAGACAAGGCACAACAGAGACTTCTCTGTGACCGTGACAGTGCAACTTTGGGTTCTTTTATGCAGCTGTAAATCTTGCCGACATTGTTGACGTTTGGCATTTAAAACCGGCAGCATTTATCTTTATATGTTTCTAATTACATGATAATAATTAACTGACTAAATTGGTATGCTATACCGGCAGCCCTCCTATGTACTATAATTTGTCTAAATTTGCCACCCTCCCAAAAAAAAATCAAAGACGCTGCCCAATTTACACTCCATGCTCAAATAGCAAGGTTCTGGTCAATCTTTCATCAAAAATTACTAAAGCACCTACGATGTAAATCGTGTATTATGCCATAAAAGTTAACATTGATCTATACGAGTTAGAATAATGGATTGGTGTATGGACAAGCAAAGGCGCAATGTCCAACAAACTAAAACATGCCTCTATTTTAGTTGTAATTAGATTGTAAAAATATTGTCATTTAATTTAGTAAATCTAGTGCCTAGTTATCATGGTGTCGCTCCTGGCGATAATATAGGTTATATGAATTGCCATGTGAACATATGCAAGGCAATTGACTAGATCCGTGTAGCAACACTATTAGTTAACTCCAATAAATCGCATCCAATAACCCACCAGATCACCATGAATAAAAATGAAAATGTACAAGCAAATGAAAATAATGAGGAAGAAAAGATAGGCATTGAACTTTTCTCTTTGACATAACGTCATATACCACTATGATTCATCTATTGTCCCTCTTCCATCATTTATTTCCCTGCTTACAGCACCCTCACTTTGTTTGCGTATACGCATGTATCACTGTTATAAATTTTCAGTTCGTAGGTGTGTAAACTGTGCATATATTTCTTATATGCATACTGTCTACACGTGAATCGGTAAAAGAAGCAACACGGTTTTTTAGGCAATCAAAGAGAGTTTGTAGATGATTCATCAACCAATTTGATGAAGCATTTACTACTGAGTGAGTGAGTGCTAAGACTAGCGAGTGGTGGGACCATCATCATTTTTGTTTGAATAGAAGTTACAAGCAGAAACATTAATTGTTACTGGATTAAAGCAACATATTTTATGTATTTGAAAAATAATAAACGTTTTGAATAAAAGATCGAAAAGGAACAAAATTATGGTGCTATTAAATGTTGACTTGTTTTAATGGGTTTAAAATACTATTATATAATGTGTATTAACTCTTAAGGTGTAGACAATAAACATTACCTGGTGTGTAGTATGCATTCAAATGGTAGATAACTTTTAGCGCCATACACATAAATGGCATGCATTAAATGATAGTCGCACAAACAACATGCCGTCGTGAGCACGTGGCAGTTGGCTACCGCCGTGACTAGTAGTAGCGCTTTGATAACTACAATCTAGCAGCATCCAGTACAGGCATTATTTATTAAACTAATATTTCTTCAAGTAAAACCCCTTATAGTCATCTTTTGAAAGGTATGGTATAATTATTGATGCTTCAAGTATGAGTAACTAAACTTTTAATACTCCCCACACCAAACATTATTGGTCATTCAATTCTAAAGCAACTTTCCATAAATGTTCACACAAAAATATCAACGAGCTCATCATAATTTAAGACGTCCATTGGATTGATCCCCAGGATGGCAGTGGAGGTGATAAGAGGAAAGGGCGAGAGCAAAAAGTGGGTTTGTGACTCCTACCTTCAAGCTTGTACTCCTCATATGCCGATATGCATGTGATATATTTATTCATATGGCCCTTCATACTGCCTCAGCCACTAGTTGAGTGGAGGACGTCTGACGACCTTTTGCAACCATGATCCCTAATAATTTTAATTCCGCTAATGTTTTCTTACGCATACTCTTATTGGCTCTTGTCTATATTAAACTGGCATTTAACATTTATTTGTCAAATTCCCAGACCTATTTAAGAAGCAATACATGTGCAACTTGACATGACATATACCTAAAGAAACCAACTCGAACTTGCCATATGTCTCAAATCTTAACATCAAATTTGCATATAACATTTACTGGCACACCACTGCACTGAAATATATGAAACCTACATGCTTCCTAAAAGGATTATGTAGTTATAACGAAGAACCACAACCTTTTCTATTTTTACCCTTTTGATAAATAATATTATCATGGTTCGAGAGACAATAGATGAATCATTTCTTCGGACAGAAGAAGATTATGGAAACACTTGCTCGTCAAGAGAGAATTTGATTTGGTTAGACAATGTGAAGTTATGTGTACAGGATATTGTTCTATGCTTCTGAACAAGTCTATTTAACATCTTACAGCCTCCAAACAACCATATGAAATATAAGACGCAAAAGGAACCTACTAAGCGAGTTATAACCTTGCATTCCAAACACGAGCTGAAACCTAATCACTATGAAGCCTACAATAACATGATAGACTCGTTCTTGGACGAACACGATGTTTAAATATCGAACAACGTCCATTACTTTGTAAAGGATTCAACACAAAAAAGACAACGATCAATGGCTGTTCCGGTAACACTAATAACGAAGTAAATTCAACGCATGACTATATGAAACCGTAAAATGCACGATTTTCAGTAACTAATTACTGTAAAATGAGTGAAGAAACAGATAGAAACCTGTGATTGTTCCGTGAACAACAGTTCCATTCTTGAGCTCGATCGAAACTGTCTCGTTGTTCAGCTTCATCAAAAACCTGTTCAATCAAAATCAACCAAAAACGAAAGAAAATAAAAGACATCACATAATCGTAAGAGAAACCTCCAATTCTCGGAATAGTGTAAACAAAAACGCAGGTAACGTTAAGACCTACCGAACGAGCTTCATTGCCGGTGAGAATGAAGAAGAGACCGAGGATTTACAATTTGCCGGAGAACGTGAAGGGGGGAGATGAGGGTTTTGCAGTTTTAGGGCTTTGGCACGAGTGACGAGAGGATGGTAGTTTTATCGTTGCTATTTAACTTTTTGGGCCATTGCCATCAGCCAGCCCATTTGAAGGGCCCAATATCTTTTGGAACTAAAGAGAGTGTTTATCAGTTGCCGAATAATTTGATGTAAAAAAATTAATAGTGTAAAATAAAATATAATTGTTTGATAATCATTCATAAAGAAATTAGGGTTAAATGGTTAATGAAGGCCCAAGATACAAAATCATTCAGAATAAGATGCATACTTTTTTTTGTCAAACAAGATTCACCTATTAGCAATTCGGATGCGTTATCTCTTTGTGAAACTATTAAGAGGTAAAAAAACAATCTCTAAACCAAACCTCCCATTTTAAGGGCCAATTGAAGATTTTTTTTTTCAATATCTTATTGAAATACACTTTAAGATACCTAATTGGATCATTCAAATACAGTTTATAGATACTGGGTCAGCCGATCCAGACTTCAACCAAAAAATCTATGACCAATCTAGGACAAGATACTGGTCTCGGTCTTGGTTCCATCTGGCCGGTCCCAAATCTGCTCCGGGTCTAGCCTCGGATATTAAAAAACTTATTTTTACAAAAAAAAAAATACTTTTTTGCATAAAAATGTTTTATAATTATAATTTTTGAAATTTAGTATCGAAATACATTTTAAATAATACATTTAAATAGAAAACCTTTAAAAACTTAAATAAATAAAAAAATACAAATATTAGTAAAATCATTAAAAACTTGTAATATAATGCATAAAAAAATTGTAAGAATCAAGCCTAACCATAACCGATTTGGGTTATGAGTCGGGCTTGACATTCCATAAATAGTATAATCGGTCATGAATTATTGGGCCATAACCGGTTCAATCGGTCCTGGCCCCAGGGTGGGGAGGACCCAATATTAAAGATTGGTCAAAAATCGTTTCGCTCAAATCTTAAAGCGATACTTGCTACTTGGGTTTTCCGTGCACCTTCAAATCTTGTTGTTTCCAATTAAATGTAGCATTTAGTTTGATGCATAATTAATAAATAACAGTATTAAATTTGTTGCATGTAAAAATTTTCACTTTGATCTCGTAAAGAAGCTTACAGTTGTATTTTATAAAGAAATGAATATACTTTTGACTAAAAAAATCATAAAAACTACATTGTTTTTATTTTAAAAAATATTATTATTTGACATTTGGGGTTTGTTTGTTTACCTTTTAATATTTTCATTAAGAGGTGAATCTTATTTAGCAAAAAAAAACTTTGTTTCTTAATAGTTCTAAAATCCTCTTAATGATTTTGCATCATGTGTCTCTCTTAACCATTTATGACCTTAATTTCATTATAAACAATTATATATCGTTTTGCACTATATCATGAGAACCTATTCATCATTTTGACCACTTAATCATTCGGCACCAAACTATTCAGTAACTGTCAAACAACCCCTGATTCGTTGAAATGGTACGGTTAATTCAATTAATCAAAATTTATGCATGTGTTTGGTTCATTTTTTGAGGTTTAACACATAATTCCAATTACATATATGTTGGAATTTAAACAATTTAGGTTTTAATAAGGAGTTGAAATTCCACTTCATTATGTCTATTCTAGAAAGACCGCTATGGTCTTGTATTTGCTCTAAACCTATCCGTTTTAATCATGACAATGGTTATCACTGTCATCACCACTGCTGCTATTACTGTTACTGTCATTGCCGTCACCACTACCATGATTACCGACACCTCCACCACCATCGCCATCAGCTAGTGACGGACCTAGCTGTAGCAGTGGGGGGAGGCCCCACTCAAATGTCAAATTTTCAAAATAATATAGGTAAAGTTTATTTTTTTACTCTTATATGTGCTAGGTCCCCCCGCCCCCTCTACAGTCACTTTCAACGGTTCCTCCAGTGATCCAGTCCGTTTTGACAAAATCCCCCACTTCCTCGCTTGACACTCGTTTCTCTTGTGTATTGTTACCGCTTAGTTCTTACAATCATGCTACAATGATAACGTTGGTTGATGGTTTTGTTAAATATGTCTCAATTTCTTGTTTTCGTAGCTTAAAAATAACATTATAAAATAAATCAATTCACATAATGTTATTTTTATAAATGTTTAAACCAATTCATTTAGGAAAAATATATAAATTTAAATGATAATATAATTTGCTATTTGGTTTGCCGAAATGGTAAAAGATAATCGAAATTGAAGGTCACCTTACTTGGTTAACCAGGCAATTTAACCCGTAAACCGTTTTGGTTCGGATGAGCTATTCGGTTTCGAATTGTTGTACACTTAAGGTCCCAGGTCACCTAAGTTTTTGATCCGCGACTGCCATAAGTGTTGTCACCACTACAACCGTTGCCACCAACACCAATTAATACTATCATTAATACGTAGTATTTATGCATTAGGTGACAAGGAGAAGGATCATGTGAGAAAGATAGTTAAGATGAAAAACATAAAAAAGGTTATGGACCCTTGATCACCTTTAATCTCAAACTCATCCATGAATAACATTTTGATACGGGGATTGATTATCGCATCCCATCACAATGTACATCAAAAAGTGTGGAGATCTCTCCTTATGCTTCTCACCTTAACTCTTATTTTCACTGGAATCTAACCCAGGTAATAAGGCGAAGGATCGTGTAGGAATGCGAGTTAACATGAGAAGCGTTAAAGGGGATTTGAATCATTGATCACATTTAATCTCAAAACCACTCATGAATGACACTTGATACCGGTGCATCTCGTGTATCTCATCCTAACGTGCATCCAAGGCTAAAGATTTCTTCTTATACTTCTTACTTTAAGGTGTTGTTTGTTTTTAAGAGAAGCTAAAGTCTGAAGTTTTATTTCACTTATGATTAATAAGAATTGATGCTAAAGTCTGAAATATGAACCAATAAGACTGTTTGTTTTTGTAAACTGATTACTTTTTGAATTTGTTAAAATTGTCCATTTCACCAATTAAAAATTATAATGTTGAATTTATTACACAATTTCACATATTTATTCACCATCATTAAAAAAATTATATTTAAATTATATAATTAACACTATTTGAACGAAAATATGTCATTAATGATATTTAACACGTTTAAATCATATTAAAGCACACCAATTGAAAGATGTAAGGATCGATTTGGTGATGATCAATTGAGAGAAAAGATCTATTAAGGTTAATCGATTGAGAAACGTCGTTGCTAAATGTTTTGAGAACAATAAGAGACAAATAAGAGGTGAGTTTGGAGAACAATAAGATGTAAATGCCTCTAAAAAATTGAAAAAACCAAAAAATCTGAAGGACCTTACCTCTTAATAAATCAGACATAAGAGGTCGATAATTTTTTTTTCAAATAACAAACAAGTCATAACTTTTATTCTCACCGAAACCAACCCTAAATAATAAACAATAAAAATATTCCGATAAATTTCATTCTCATTATTACAAAATAAAAGAGAATTGAATTTCATTTCAAATTATTTGACAGATTATGTTATTGACATACGCCATTTATATCGAGCCGATGATTTTATTGTAGCTGGCTCAGTAGGCTGTAGCCGTCGACTACTACCGGCTCAGTCAAACGTTTACTTAGGTAAGACGCAGAAAAACGACGACGTTACACGGATCGCGTTATATAGGCGGTTTTTAATTGTCAGTTTTATACGTTTGCGCCCCTATATTTACATACCAGTTCGGCTGGCGGGCAAAAAAACCCTAAAAAAACATTCCTCCAAAGCCGAATCCAGTATCCAATTTCACGGTGCGCTGGTGTTATTCAATCTACTCTCTTGGTTCTTTTGATTGATCTAGCTACTGAATCGTTTTGGATTTCATAGAAACCTTCCAATCGTAGTTGATCTTCATCATTGTTTTGTGTATATACGTATCTGTATGTATACAACTCTGTTCTTCGATTGGAATCTTGAATTCATTTACTTTTCTTACGAACTTTCTTTATGCTTTGTGGCTTTCAAATTAAACAACTGTTTTGCTGCATGGTGTAATGAAATGGCTCGTTTTTTGTAGGCAATTTGGGGGTGGGGAGGGGGTAAAGGGTTTAATTGATTATAAACATAAAGTTTTTTTTATTGAATTTGGGTGTATTGTCTGTTCCTGACACATACATATCAAAACAAAAGTGATTTTCTTAACTTTTAAGTTGTGAGCGAAATGATCAATTATATTGGGTAAAGGGGGTTTATCATGAAAAAATGGTCTTGTGTTTGAAAGTACTTAATTAACTTGGTTTGAGAAGGTGTACACACATCATCATATGATACAGAGACTTAAAGTGCGATGAAGAGGGTTTATTATGAAGAAAAATGGTCTTGTGTTTGAAAGTTTTATTTAACTTGGCTTGACAGCTGAGCTAAGAACCTTTCTTTCCAAGATCAAGGGCAACTGTTTCAATCAATTTATAAGTGGGAGTTCATGGTTGGTTGGAATCAACATGAGTGTCTAGCTTTATAGCATTACCAATATAAAGTTAATTTAGGAACCTTAAATATTTTGAGAACCCCGTTAACCAACAATGCATGATGAATATAGCTAAATACAAGCATTTTCATTATTCATGATATCCGTTATGAATAATTCACGAACAGTTAATTCTCACGGTTCTCAAAATACTTATGTTTCTCAAATGAATTTACCCCTTCAAATATAGCACTCCCACTTTCTTTTAAGAAAGGCATGTCCCAGCTCCATAAACTATTTGCTTTTTGTTATGAGTTTGTTTGTAATCCACACTATGCTAGAAGTTGTAGTTTGTGATGCCTGGTATGTTATTGTTGATCGAGCTTTTGGTGTTCTAGAATTTCAGTTCTTCCCGAGTAGTTGGATCTACATATCACCAAAGCTTTCTGTGGATGTGGGGAATCAACACATGGACTTGAATGCCTCTCCTTTACCAGAGGAAGATGACTCGATACGTTCAGATACTGTAAAAACTCAGTTCGCTGGACAAGAAAGATTGACCGGCCTTCAGACCATGGACCAAGTATTAGTCTCTATAATTTTCTTTTGCTATACATATGCATATTCATGTAGGACATTTTGTATAGTTATATGAATTCTTGGTTACCTGTTTTTTCTATACTTATTTTGTGCGCTTAAGAAAGCATAATTCAATACATTTTTTTATATTAATTTCTTATCATTAAATCAGGTTAAAGTTTAGTCATCAGAGGCAAAATTTAATGATGTGCATCGTACGGTGCCTTCCTTTGAATATGATAGGCTTCAAGCTCCTTTGATGTGCAACAAAATTAAGATCCAATAATTTGTCTCTTGCTTTCTTTAAGATACCGATGTATTTATCGATAGTCACACTTGCATTGGACAATTGACTTGACATGGATTTATTTTGTGTTTTGAATTTACTAGTTTAGTGTCATGTTTCTTATAGTTCTGACAGCTGATCTCAAGTGTTTTGAGTCTCAGGATAGAAGGAATGGGGGATCAAAAAGAAGATATGTGGATGTGGACCCAATGCATATGTCCCAGCCATCCAAGCGTAGTCAGGGATTCCAAAGTAGAGACAATGAATTCTATGACCGGAATAGCCTTCCCCCAGGTAGGCCTTGAGTTATGCTCATTGTCTAAATTGAGGATGTATATTCCTTGTGTGAGGAGTGCTTGCACACGTATGTGTTCTTTTAGCAATTAGCATAGACATGTATTCTTAAACACCTTCAGTTATATATATATATTAGAAGGGTACTCGTGCAATGCAGCGAGATATATATCGATTTTAATGTTTCGTTTTATTCCGTCCTAGTAAATGTTTTAATACGGTTTTTATGTGGTTTTGAGAAAGAGAATGTTTTTTATTTTTGAATAAAATATAAATTTGAAGATATCATAAAATTTCGAAAATAAAAATATCAATATTAGTATCAAATTAACTATTTAAATGTTCTTGTTTTTTGTGTAATTTTTTGAATTCAATTTTTTTTTATAATTTAATTTAGATCTAATAACGAAGTAATTTATTTTTGGTTTAATAATATAATTTTTTATAAAGATAATAGTTAAGTATTTTGTTAGAACTCAATGATTATTCTAATTATATTTTAGTTTTTTTATATTCAAAAGGAAATATTTATCCTGTATTTGATTATGTTTATTTGAAGTTAGTTACACTAATTCAAACATGATGTTTTAATAAGTTGTACTTACGCACATTTTATTTGTAATCTTGAGTTTTAAGTAATATGCATAATAAATGGTTCTTCATGTATAAAAAAATGGTTTTTAAGAGTTTTTGTCAAATGCTTTATAATATAGTATCTATATATATATATATATATATATATATATATATATATATTTTAAAAGTTTTGTCAAATGCTTTATAATATAGTATCTATATATATATATATATATATATATATATATATATATATATTCAATAACATTCCTCTTTTTCTCGATTTAGACGATAAAGAAATCCCCTTGCTTTCTAGATACAAATTGGATTTGATCCTTTAAATATTTTAAGATCGTGTCATAGGCTCGTGACCTCGTATAGTTGTTGCTAGTCATTTAGTAAAACAGACGATCTTGTTACACAGCCTACTCAGGCTAGTGAGAGGGAATCTCGGTGATTCAGATTTCTGGCTTGTTGGGTTATATTTTATAGTGAAGCAAACCGGAATTTTCTTTTGCCATTACTTCATCTTCTCAGTAGCCAGTTTATCTTCCCATTCTCTGTTACTTCTTCTTTAGTAATTTATAGACCATTCTTCTTCTCCCTGTAGGTTGGTTGGACTGCCCTCCATATGGGGATGCAGTCAGTTTTCTTATACCTTCAAAAGTCCCTCTCGGTGAGTCTTTCAATGACAAGGTTACTTCTGATAAAAGATACTCCCCTCAACAAGCGATTCGTCAGCAACGGCGTTTAGGGAGAGAAGTAAGTACTGATCTTATAAGGTTCTTCTTTAGCATGCCAAGGCATTTCTTTCTGTTTGTATAGGATTGTGAAGTTTCTTATTTATATGTTTATATACCTATAATTGTTCTAATTTTATGTTTACCAGGTTACTTAAGAAATTTTATACCATCCTTTCAGCTAGGTTTAGTAATAGATCTAACAAACACTAATCGGTACTATCGCGAGTCAGATTGGACGAAAGAAGGTATTGAATATGTTAAGGTAAGAGAATCAGTACCTACTTCTTGGTCATGTTATAACCGTTCACAATAAAACCCGTTCATTAAATTTCTCAATCACTTCTTCAAATGCCAGATCAGGTGCGCAGGAAGGGATGCAGTGCCTGATAATGAGGCTGTCGAAAATTTTATGCAGGAGGTAGTGAGAAATATGTCCACTTTTTTCTTTTTTTACCTTTTATACTTCTTTTTGTTGTTGAGCATTTTGGTATTCATGGTAGTTACTGACATTTGTATTTATGTTTACTAGGTGACCCGGTTCAATTCCCAACATGCTCATTCAAATAAGTATGTCTTTGTCCATTGTACACATGGCCATAATCGGACAGGATATATGATTGTTCATTTTCTTATACGGGCAGAATCACTTTCCGTCACGGAGGTAGGTGATTTGACTAGTTAAGGAGAACTCCTATGTGGTCTCTCTTTAAACAAATAAAGTTTGAAATTGTGTACGTTTGTAACACATGCAGGCGATAAATAGATTTTCTGAAGCACGTCCTCCAGGGATTTACAAACAAGATTACATTGATGATCTATACGATATTTTCGGTGAACAAAAGCCTATAACTTGTGTCTGCCCACAAACCCCAGAATGGAAGAGGTCACCTGATCGGGATGATGATGCAACTGCTGGTTTACAGGTATGTAATCCAGATGTTATTGGGATGGAAGATAGCTCCTGATATCATTTTATTCTGTGTGGAAACATTAGTTGGATAGAATGCCTTTAGAACTTAGGGATTGTCTACTATCTTCTGACTGCCTCGTACTGAATAAGAGGTGCTTCCCTGGTAACAAGGAATGTTGTTTACCAACACATTCCGACCCACAAATATGCTGATCGAGATGCTGACCCAGTAAGGGGGGAGTTGCTTTCTGACTTGGTCCGTGCTTGCCAAGACCACCCTCTTGCCTGGTTAGCGCTTACTCAATTTGTGTTGGTAAACAACCCCTTAGTTTGGAAATTGGTGTCTTTGTGATGGAAAGTCTCACCCTTGTACTAGATCTTCTAATTATAAGAGTTTGCAGGACAATGACGTGCAAGCAGGCCAGATGACAAATTTGTTCGGTGAAAGTGAGATGGAAAATGCCATGGGAGCAGGTGAGGTTGCAAATGCTATGGTACCAAGCGAGATGACAAATGATGATATATTGGGAGATAATGTGCCATATAATCAGATAGAGACAATGAGGCAGTTCTGCAATCAAGCTCTTAAGTTGAATGTACGGGTAAGTATCTTGGGACACTTCTATCTATGATGTGTTTTCACAACATTTTGATTTTAGACAGAGTAGTGCTATCTGTTTGTCTTCGATTTTAGCTTGATGTTCCAGTGTTACACCAGTCAATGTAGATTATTCTGTCTATATAGATTGGGAAGAATTTTGTTTGGAAGAGTTTTTTCATAGATGGAAGGAGCGTGTTTTTTAATTGGGAGGGGCAGGGTTGGAAAAAAAACTTGGCTTTCTGAATAAGCCACTTTCTATATCATTAAGCCACTACCAGACAGTCATGTATAGTTATAAGTTGTGAATCCCATTAAGCTCATTAAGCTGCTAACAAACAGACACTTAGTGAGTCGTTAGTTAGATTACCATTTACCAAAGGCCTAAGTTAGACCACGGTTTTGCAGTTTCTTAACCTTGATTATGTTTTTTTTGTGCCTGCTCAAATTTGTATGTTATTGCTTACTCATACCTAGCTTTTCAAAATTTATCTTATATGCCTTTCTATCTTTGGCACACTTCACAAGCCAAGGATCTTCAAGGAAACATCCGCTCTACTTTTTGAGGTAGAAGTTTTGTTTGTGTATGTATTACCCCTCTCTGACCCCTCCTCCGGGTGGGTATACTGGGCTTGTTTGGTTTGGTTCACACTATCTAGAGTTGTAATCTGTCATCTTAAACTGATTTTGTTCTTGTTTTTTTATCCCTAATCGTGAGAGTCTAAGTGATATATGACTTGGTTACTTGTTATATTTATCCTGGGTTAGTAATACAGGAAGAAATGGATCTGTTTCCTTGGAGGTGAACTTTACTCTTTTTCCTTCTTTTTTTCTTTAATCTTCAGGGCCGAGGAAAGCCACAATTTCCAGGATCACACCCTGTTTCTCTTAGCAGGTGCAATTTTAATGTTCACTTTCTTATCATCTTCTTTTTTCCTTTTCAAGAAATACATGATTTAGCTTTATTTCATGTGTGAATTTGGGGCCGTTTACCAAATGCTTACCCGGGTAAGCGCTTACCAAGTCATATTACCTTACCGGATGAATATGACAAGGATCAATAATTCAACCGGTAAGAGCGAAGACAAGGACCGAAAGTCTTACCCTGTAAGTGAGGGCGACGACTCTTACTATGGTTAGCGCTTACCGGGTAAATTGTTGCATACAATTCCGTTTTTGTGGAATAAAATCTTACCCGGTAAGTGATGGTGTTGAATTTTACTGGTAAGCGCGTACTAGGTAAGTGTTTGGGTAAATGGCCCCTTTGTCTGATTCATCTAGATTTATGTCTATGTCCGTTTCTGCTTATTTGAATAAAAACTTTAGAGCATGTATTTCTCAGTCAATTCAGCCCTAAAATGTGACATTTTTCATCAGCATTGATTGCTATTTTGACGGTAAAATCCATAAACATTTACCTGAGTGCTGCTTAAACATCAAGTACTTTATCATGAAATGCTACAATCGTATTACATACGTACTTATGTCAGTAAAATTCTTGTAAAATATGCTAGCCAAGTGACAATAGAAACATGTTTTGGTGTTCTACACACAAGCTTCCTATTCAGGGTATGCAGTATAATGTTCTTCAAAGTTCTTATACTGTTGATTTCCCTAATCCAGGGACAACTTACAGCTCTTGAGGCAACGTTACTATTATGCCACATGGAAAGCCGATGGAACACGCTATATGATGTTAATAACTTGGAATGGATGTTATCTTATTGATAGAAATTTCCAATTTCGAAGCGTTGAGTTGCGGTTTCCATGTAGAAGTGTTAGTGAGGTAGTATGCAATTAGAATATACTCCATCTGTCCCATATCAAATCTAAAACTATTTTTCCGCATTAAGGAACTTCTTGGTCCATCATATAACTTGGTCCATTTTTCTGGGATAATGTTTCTCCACGCTCAACATTTTGTCCCAAAGCTTTTATATAAATCAATAAGGAGGTCCTAAAATGTGTGAGATAGGATTAATTTGATATGGAATGAGGTACTATCAATAGGCAAAATGCATCAAATGCAACAAACGCTAAACAAAGATTTTTTTTCTCAATAAACGTAACAAGGCTTCAACTTTTCCTATTTAATGTAACCAAGTTTCAAAGTTTCCTATTTCTTTTACCCATTTTGACCGGTAACTTGTTGATCATTTAACATTTGATGACATGGATGTCAAGATTATCTTCCACTTCTTTCATAACCCTTTCGTAAACGGGTATCCACACCATCAAATATTACAAGAGGAGCAGGTTACCGGTCAAAATGGGTTAAAAAATAGGAAATTTTGAAACTTTAATACATTGATTGAGAAAAGAAATCCAAGCTTTGTTGCATTCCTTTTTCAGCATCTTTCATATGTTCTTATCCTTGATGAGCTTGCATCTGAAACGTTTTTCCGTTAGAGTGCAGCCATAAACACTCATCACTACACCTTACTTGATGGCGAAATGATAATTGATACGGACCCGAGCACACACAAGCAGGAAAGGAGATATCTCATATATGATCTGATAGCAATCAACAAAGTATCACTCATAGAGGTAAAACCCTTTTTCCTCTTCTTTTTGTATCATGTGACTAGTTGGCTAGGTCGTATTATGATACATGAGTTCCATAGTTCATAACTAAAAGTTCTTTAGAACATGACACTTGTGTCACAAGACGAAGGATCGCTTGTGAGAATAAGAGTTAAGGTGAGAAGCGTAAGAAAGGATTTGAACCCTTGATCACTTTTAATCGCACCTCCATCCCATGAATTGCGCTTCTCACGGGAATTTATATGGTGCATCTCGGTGCACCACATTAGTGTTGATCTTCAATTAGGATTGATCCAAGGGTAGAGATCTCTTCTTACCATAACTTCCATTCTCACTGGAATCCAACCCTGTGTCACAAACTAACCAATTTGTCGCCCATGATTTTGCTTTATGCGATAGTATTATTGCTTAGATAATAGTGGTTAAGTTGGTTTATATCACGTGCAAAATAGGGATGATAATGGAAGTTTAACATACTCTGGCAGCTATAGGCATTTTTGAGGACATGACCTATGATAGGAGTTATTGGAGACCGCAAGACTAAGGTAGTAGACTAGGGGTGGGGTTCTAGATAGGAGATAGGAGCTGGAGAGGTAGAGGATAGGGGATAGGGGTAGTGAGTCGGCAGTTTGGTTACCTAAAACTTAACTTTGTTCGGGGGGGTTGTAGTTCTCACACCTTGGTTATGGTTTTCTTCTATATATTGTTGTTGCTTACTCATATCTAGTGTCTCAAAATTTAGCATATTTGTCCCTCTTTTTAGTTTTATTGCTATTGCTACTCTTATCTAGCTTTTCATTTTTTTATCACATTTGTTTCTCTTTTTCACACTTTTCACTGGTCGAGGGTCGTCAAGGAAACAACTTCTACTCTTTTAGAGCATCTCCAACAGCTATGATATACTTTTTCTAAAATAGAGTAGCGAAAATTAAAGTCTCTAAAAAATTACATCTAACTCCAACAACTACTCTATTTTAGCAATTCTACCACGGACTTTATTATTAGAATATTCGATACATTTAATAAAATGCTATCTCTCTATCCTAAACACTTGGTTTCAATGTCTCCTATTGGTGTGAAAGAATTAAATTTTATTTCTGTCTCTTAATATGGAGTTTTAGAGATTTCTCCAAATTTGGAGATTTCTACACTCTTCATTTCTCTATTTTAGCATACAGTATAGCATAGATGTTAGAGCAAAAATATACCCTAAATCTCCAAAATCTCTATTTTAGCATAGCTGTTGGAGATGCTCTTAGGTAGAAGTCATGCACATCTTACCCGCCTTCCCTAACCCCACCTCCGGGTGTGATATACTGGGGTCGTTTGGTTTGGTTTGGTTTGCTTTACTAGAAGCTTAACATCGGATTGTTAATGAGCGCGTTTATTGGGTTGTTGAGATTTTTGTGTTTGTAATTCTTTTGCTAAGATACTCTACATGAAGCTCAACATTGGATTGTCAATGTCCTTGCAGCGTCCTTTTAGCGAAAGGTGGATGATACTCGAGAATGAAGTTATTAAACCTCGAAATAGCGAGCGAGATCGTTTGTTCAAGAGTAGAAATCCGTACTACAGATATGACTTGGAACCATTCAGGGTATGTTTCAAGGCCATCAGTTAACATTAGCTCTTGATTCAATGGGTTTTTTTGTGTTTATGATTCATTTTGAAAAATCGGTACATTTTAGGTGAGAAGGAAAGACTTTTACCTACTTTCGGCTGTATCTAAGCTTCTAAAGGAGTTCATTCCACGCCTATCACATGCATCGGATGGTCTCATTTTTCAGGTGATTATGGATGATTTTACAGGACTTTCATGGTCTTTGGGTTGTGTTATGGGCATGCTTTTAAATTTAGTTTCCTACATTATGCATCTAGGGGTAGGTTCAACGTAGGGCTGTAAACGAGCCAAACTAACACGAACGAAGGCTTGTTCATGTTCGTTCGTTTAACTTAACCGAGCAAACGAACGAACACTAAACAAACAAATTTTTTGTATTCCTGTTCGTTTATTAAGAAAATGTGTTTGTTCGTGTTCGTTTATGTTTGTTAAGATTTTAAACGAACGAACATAAATGAACATAAACGAACGGACACGAATGAAAAAAAGAAGCAATGACCATTACTCATCATTTTGTTCCTCAAAAATAACATAAAAAAATGAAAAACCGGGTGAACTTAGAAAGGATAAAAAAAAGAATTCTATAAATTTAATTTTTTACATATTAATTCATAATATATAAATATATTTATATAGAAAACAAGCGTAAACGAACATAAATAAACTAACGTTCACGAACGTAAATGAACGAATGGGACCATTTTTCATATTCATTCATTTATTAAATAAATGAGCATAAACAGACTTTCTGCCTAAGGGTTCACGAACGGTTTGCTGAACGTTCGGTTCGTTTACATCCCTAAGTTCAAGAGAGAACCCAAAAAAAGGAGAACAAGGGTCCCCTACCAACCGTTGGATCTAAAAGATGGCCCAAATTCAAATGTAACCCTCCTTATAATCATGGATTTAGTTTTGGCAAAATGTAACCGTCCATATTATTCACAACCATCGGAATTATAGATGGATAGTTCAGATGGGTTCCATAGTTCTCCCTTTTTTAGGTGTTTTCTCTTGAACACACCTTTATGCACGTAAAGATTAATTGTTTTTTTGGTGGAATAGTCTCCATTACGTACTTGTTAACACGTTTGTGGAAACTGTTGGTTTTACTTATAGGGTTGGGACGATCCATATGTGCCTCGCACACATGAAGGTCTATTGAAGTGGAAGTATCCAGAAATGAACTCGGTTGATTTTCTCTTCGAGGTTGTAAAAAGACACGTTTGTCAGTTTTTATTAAAATTATATAGTCCCTCGTTGGAATTTTAACGAAGCAAATGAATATATTGATAGGTGGGAAACAATAATCGTCATATGCTTTGCTTGAACGAGCGTGGGAGAAGGAAAACGATGGATGGAAATCGTGTTGTTTTTAGAGGTATGTCATTTGTTCTGTTTTATTCCATTAGCCCTCAAGAATGATTTGATCAGATGCACATGTTTGACCTATGTTTTAAATCACATCGTCATTTCTCCTCTTACCATATAATTGAGGACTTAAAGAATGAGGAGAAAGTTCATTTAGGAACCGTAAATATTTTGATTACCATGGGAACCAACTATTCATGAATTATCCATGATGAATATTATGCATATTCATTGTTTATGATATTCATCATGAATACTTGATGAATGGTTGATAAATAATGAAAATGCATGATATTTACGATGAATACTTCATGAATAATTGGTTCTCACGATTATTAAAATATTTGTGGTTTTCAAATGAACCCGCCCCTACAGAATGGAATGTTAAAAATGTTATTGTTTTTTATTTACCCTCATGTGTCTTGTCTTGGTCATGTGAATCATTGCGTAGAAGGCGACTATAAACATATAGAGTAACTGCTAAACCAAAACCAAACGGACCCGGTAAATCACACGCAAAAATAGAGTTTGGGGAGAATAAGATGTACGTAGACGTTATCTCTACAGAGGTTGTCCCCGTGATAACCCTCGTGGAGAATAAAAAGATGAAACATGCGAGTAACATATAGGTAAGAATGTGTGCAGAAGCAAACATACAGTGTTACACAACTAGGGATCTTCTAGAAACATCCGCTCTACTCTCTAGGGGTAGATGTCAGGTATGCGCACATTTCTCCCCTCTCGGACCATGATTTTGAGTGGGTTAATATTGGGTTTGTTCGTTTTTTGTTTGGTTTGTGAACATAGGGAAATGTAGCACAAAATACGATAGAGTAAACGACTTCTTTTCTATTTGCCTTCACTTGCAATGTGTTGATCGCATGTTTATGAGTTGTAGATCCATCAATAGATGTATTTTCGTTATCCGGGAAGATAATAGAGTGTTCATGGGATTCCGAGGAAGACGTTTGGGTCTTTATGCGAATGCGGCCCGACAAATCGACACCGAACGAATTTATAACCTTCAAGAAGGTCCAATTCCTCTCATTCGCAAACCACGTTTTTTTGAAATATTATATATAGGGGAATAATCAAATGAAACCACAAAAAAGGTCGAGAACCATTAGAACCACTCTTCATGTGTTGTTTCACATCGTGAAACAGTGCATGTGAAATACTGTGCTATTTCAAAATATGAAACAAGAAAAGCATATTAAAAATAATCACATAGTGAAACAACAATATATTTTCACATGAATTGTTTGGCAGTGTGAAACAACACATGAAAACTGGTTCTCACAGTTCCAACCTTTTTGTGGTTCTCATTTACTTAATCCCCTATATATATATATAATACACACACATATATAAAATATATAGGGTTGGGTTCAGTGAAATCAAATTTCGGTTAGAAGCGTTTTAAACACTTCGTAAGCCGAAGTTCACGTAAGCTGTCATGTTAATGTACTTTTAGCACATCTTAACATTTCATATTAATTTTGATTTCTCACTACGCTTCTCATCAAGTTTTGATTTCTCACGTAATTCTAATTCTATATATATACATACAGTAAATACCCACGCACACACATCACATTTGGCGAGCTTTGAACACTTTTGACTTACCGGGAGGCCGGGCTTTATGGGTGACCACCGGGCCAATGACCCGTTGGTTTGACTAACCATGTTCTTGACGTAACACTTCACAATTTTCTTGACTTCCGACTCTTCCTAATTTCACAATAATAGGTTATGAGGAGCATCAAGGATAACATCACAGAAGAGGTCGTATTAAATGAGATCAACGATATTATCCGTCTCCCCATGTATGCCGACAGAATAAAAACCGATTGCCGAACCTTCGAGAAAAACGGTAGACGCAAATAATAAACCCATATCCCGATCACAAGAGTAACCCACCATAACAGGTGTTCAAGAATCGGCGTTTGAAACTTTAATGAATTCGAAAGAAATTGTATACATACAACGAGACGACTCTGACATCGAATTTGATCAGTTTAGCAGAATTGTGTACAATAGGTAGGAGCTCTGGCGGCATATGACTATCCGACCACCACGGCCCATCATTTCGATACCGATCAATTGGTTTTTGGAGTAGCTATAGGTTTAGAAGGTATTATAGTTCTAAAGAGGTTGGAATTTTGGACCAACTTATAGAGATAATAGCATGTATTAGATAAAATGTGTTATGAGACCAGATGTATTTCTATAAACTCAAAACAATTATGTTGCAAATCAAACAGACATATTTCAATTCATTAGACAGATTATATTTCATTCTTGCCAACCAAACACTTGATAACATTTCATCCCGATTCTTTTCTGATTTCAATTCATTTGACAGATTTCATTTCTTCAGAAATCATTCTGCTAACCAAACGCCCCCGTAGAGTGTTTTGATTTGTGTGAATGCACCCCGAACTCAAAACAACTATTTATATCGAAAAAAATTGGGAAAATGGTCCAAAAAAGCAGATGTAACCGCTAAATACTGTAGATTGGTTTTCAATTTGGACAATACATTTTCTCCCATAAACTACGATTTTCGTTCTTGTGGGTTGTTAAGATTTATGCTTTTTGTTCATGTGTTTTTGAAATTATGGTTTTCATTTTGTAGTTAGCAATTTATTGATGTTCTCGTCCTTTATCTATATAAGTTGGCCCAAAACTATAGTGTGTATTGATTTGTGTAAATGCATTACCGATGTAACCGCAAAATACTTTCGCCACCTGGGGGCTGTAGTATGTTTTAACAGATTGGGTTGTTCGTCCATTAAAGCGGTACGTGAGTTGGGTTCATAACGTCGTGAGACAGTTCGGTTCATATTCGCTGTGGGCGTTAGAGCATTGAGAGGTCCACACAGTTGTCCATGTACCAGTAGAAGATTCGGCAGCTACTCCGGCCACCAAATATAGGGTGTATAAACCGACGACAGATTGGTTTTTATTTTAAGAATATATTTTATTTTGAGTATACTACGTTTTTTCATTTCTGACTTTTGTTTTTGTGCTTCCGAAACTAAAGTTTTCATTTCTATAGTTTACAATTAATTGTTACTCTTGTTCTTATTTCTATAAGTTAGGTGGTGTTTATTTTTTTTAAAAAGCTTTTATTTTACCACTTATGTCTGATTCGGTCAAACATAAGGAAATTCAGACCGTTTGTTTTTTTTTTTTTTTCAGAGCCACTTATCACTTATTTTCCTCTTAAAAATTAAGTGATAGCCTAGCCACTTATTTTCCTCTTAATCCTGAAAATTATCCAGAGAACTGATTTCTACTTCATCATTCGATCGACTTCACCCTCCTCATCGTCTCAATCGATCAAGTTCACCCTCCATTGCCTCTGGTGGTTTCAAATCGACCCAAATTAGATCCAAATCAAGAGGCTTTCCTTCCCTGTGGGTTTTCGCTACTGTGTGTTTTCGTTCCTGTGCAAACCAGTAGTTGTGCACCTTTTATCCTCGTGAATCAAGGTATTTTTGTCCCTGTAGTTTTCATCATGATGAATATTTGCTTCGATTTTAGAGGTGGATTTGGACGTTGGATTTTAGAGAAGAGTGGTGGTGGACGGTGGTTGATGGTGGTGGGATGAGGGTGGAGATTGATGATGGAAGACTTGATCTGGAGGAGAAGGAAGAATTAAGGGAATCTTGGGAACACAAACAGAAGTGAAATCAGAAATTATACATATTGATATGTTTTGTTGGTTACAAAAGCAAACTATTGATTCAGATTTCAGACTTCAGACGTTATCAGTTTACAAAAACAAACAATCTGACTGATTCAGATTTCAGACTTCAGCACCACCTCTTAAAAATCAGAAGTGAAATTAGACTTCAGACTTCAGCACCTCTTAAAAAACAAACGTCACCTTAGTGTTTTGATTTATGTGAATGCACCACCAGTGCAAACGGGTATTTATATCGAAGAAAAATGGGAAATCTGTGTAAAAAAACAGTTGTAACCGTAAAATACTTTAGACTTATTTTTATTCTGGGTTATATATTTTCTTGAGTAAGCTACGTTTTTCGTCCCTATAGTTTGTTAACATTTCTTGCTTTTTGTTTTTTATGCTTTTAAAATTACAGTTTTCATTTCTATATCTGATAATTCATTGTTATTTTCGTCTTTTATCTGTATTAATTGGTCCAAAACTACAAAGTGTTTTGATTTAGGAGAGGAAACTTAAAAGACCAAAAATTAAATATTTGCTAAATGTAAAAATCCAACCTTCAACTTATTGTATCTCAGAGCAGAGTTTAACCTAATTATTTAAAGGATAAATTGTATGAAAAAATAACGTACTTTAAGTTGATTCTTATTTTGGCATCTTATATCATTAGGGTAATGATTCATCAATCTCTAGTTCTTTTTCTGAAGTAACAACAAGAGAATTCATCCTGGAAGTTTGGTACTTAAGACGTAAAATTTTAAACATTTATGTACTCGAGTAACCGGTTGAAGCATTAACCGGTTTCCATGCTGATGTGACGAGTGATGTGGTATCCAACTCCGTATTATTTGCTGACGTGTTTAGTGACATGGTTTTTTTTAATCTAAAATTAGTTTTCAACCGGTTACTCTGGTACTTGAATGTTTAAAGTTTTACATCTTATGTATCACACTAGAAGTTTTGAAAGTACGTTACCGAAAATAAGAATTAAGTTAAAATACGTTAATTTTTCATGTAATTTATTTTTATTAATATTATTAGCGTTAGCAAATTAAATTTAATTTTTTTCTTGTAAACCATAACTCGTAATAATATATTGAAGCAAATGATAAAGTTGTGTATACGACTAAATACGTAAATAAATATATATAATTGATGTTTGACACTCAAATCAATTCTATTAATCGGGGACAGATGTAACAGATCAGTATATCTATACTATATTATAAAATATTTGGAAAAAAAAAATTAAAAATCATTTTTTATGCATAAAGTACTGTTTATTGATGCATATTACTTAAGATTCAAAATTACAAGTAAATTGTGTATAAGTACAATTTACTAAAGCTTCATATTTGAAATTGTGTAACTAACTACATATAAACATGATCAAATAGAAGATAAAATCTCATTTTAAACATAAAAAATCTAAAATATAATCAGGATAATCGTTGAGTTCTGAAAAAAATACTTAATTATTATCTTTATAAAAAATTATATTATTAAACAAAAAATAAAAGAATGAATTAAAGAAATATACAAAAAAAGATAAATTTTAAATAGTTAGTTTGGTACTAATATCATTATTTTTTTTCAATTTTTTATAGTATCTTCATATTTATATTTTATTCAAAAATAAAAACAGTATCGTTTTTTCAAAACCACTTAAAGCCGTATTATAACATCGACTGAGACAAAAATGAATAAAACGAAATATTAAAATCGAGATGTATCTCGCTGCATTGTGCGAGTACCTTTTTAGTATTATTATTAAATGTATTTGATCTATTAATTTTTATTCACATATATTTTTAATACATGATTTTATAGGTGTCAATTTTGTATCAAGATAAACCAACCAATTATGTACCAACCACGTCAATACAATGGGTACAATTTGTAATCGGTTGGTCGTATCGCACTAATAATATAAAGTTGGTTGGTACATAGTATTTTTTTTCTTTCATTAACCCAAATATTCAACTCGTTATGCGAGTCCACTAATCCCAGGACGATCGCTTTTGAAGTCACTGCATTTGAACCTCCGTGACCACAAAGAGATTTTCATTCTTTCTTTGATTTGAATCTGGTACCTCCAGATCAGACATTTTTGACCTTTGGTGTCTAAGCTCAAACCAATCAGACACCACCCTTATGGTTTGATGCATAGTATTTAAAGTAGTTTACCGTGGTAGTATCATATTGTACCAACTTATTTTTTTGATTATTTATTTATTAAAGTTTAATCATAATACAACAAATTTTTATTTTTACATTTTTTAATTGTATTTATTTATATATTTCTAAATTCTAAATTTCAGTATTTTCTATTTTTTTAGCTTCTAAATTATGTTCTTCAAATGGTATACATATGAGACCCATCTGTATCTTATAGTCAAAATCGTTCTCCACGGGCGATTTTGATGATCATTTTGAGAAAAATCTCTAAAATGTGGTCATTTTGTTAGCGTACCGTGTATAAAATGGTCATTTTGGGTAATTTCCTCATTTTTAATTTCGAATTCTTGTAATTTCTAATTTCTAACAGTGAATGTTTGTATTATATATATGTTATTTGAATGCTTGTATATATAAGGATAAATGATATAACACATATCAACATGTTATTTGAATACTCGATGGTTTTATTACATCTACTTCATAACAATCTTGATGTAAAATAAATATGTAACTTTAACTTTTGTGATGTTGGTACAAAAACGTACACACATGTACCAACCAAAAAAATTGGTACCATATATAGTTGGTTGGTACATGGTATAAAAATTTGTGTACCAATTATAATGTGTTGGTACACGATATACGAGGAAAAAACATAATATGATACCATGCTTGTTTCTGTATAATTTGACCTAATTTTGAAACAAATAAATATGTATAACATAGATTGGTTTTTTGTGAGAAGGATAGTTGGGGTGAAACGTGTAAGAAGGGATCTCTACCCTAGGATGAGATGTACCAAAATGCACTAGATCGATCTCCATATCAAAGCATGATTCATGGGTGTGTCTGAAATAAAAATTGATCAAAGATTCAGATCCATTCTTACGTTTTTCAACTTAACTCTACTTCTTATATGATTCTTTACCATATTAAAGCACATTAAAAAGAAGGGCAAGTTGCATGCAAAAATAACGTATTTTAACTTGATTCATATTATGGGTAACGTACTTACAAAATTTCTATTTTGATACTTAAGATGTAAAGTTTTGAACATTTAAGTACCCGAGTAACCAGTTATCATGCTGATTTGGCTAGTGATATGGTGAGTGATGTGATATCCAACTTAATATTATTTGCTGATGTGGTTAATAATATAAATTTTTTTTAATCTAAAATTAATTATTTTTATATGCAATTTATCCTTAAAAAAATATATAAAAATATGAAATAGTTTGTTAATTGTCGGGATGACATCCAATTGGACAATTATGTGGACGTTGATAGTTCACATGATTGTTGATGTTGATGGTCATGTTGTCATTTAAAACAAACTTATCCATTCTCTAATTTAGAGATTCAAATTTTAATAAATTATGCTTTTATATATATATATATATATATATATATATAGAGAGAGAGAGAGAGAGACTTGGAATCATGTGAGACCAATAGTTTTTCGTGAGACCCGTAAGACCAATTCTCAACATTTGGATTAGATTTACAATCGTCAGATCTGAACATTTATAAATGCCACGAGACTTCTCACTAATTACGAAATTGTCACCTTGCAACTTTGCAACCATTAGATCATTAATTCATAAATTTGATCAATGAACATAAATTGGTCTTACGGGTCTCACAAAAAACCCTTGGTCTCACGTGAACCCAACCCTATATATATATATATGGTTGAGTTTACGTGAGACCAAAGGTTTTTCGTGAGACCCGTAAGATCAATTTATGTTCATTGACCAACTTTATAAGCTAATGATCTAATGGTCTAAAGTTGCACGATGACAATTTTGTAATTATTGAGAAGTCTAGTGGCGTTTATGAATAATCATATCTGACGATTGTAGATCTAATCCAAGGGTTGAGAATTGGTCTTTTGGGTCTCACGAAAAACCCTTGGTCTCACATGATCCCAAATCTATATATATATATATATATATATATATATATATATATAGGGTTGGGTTCACATGAGACCAAAGTTTTTTCATGAGACCCGTAAGACCAATTTATGTCTATTGATCAACTTTATAAGCTAATGATCTAAAGTTGCACAGTGGCAATTTTGTAATTATTGAGAAGTCTCGTGACGTTTATGAATGTTCAGATCTGACGATTAAAGATCTAATCCAAGAGTTGAAAATTGGTCTTACGTGTCTCACGAAAAACCATTGGTCTCACATGATCCCAAATATATATATATATATATATATATATATATATATACTTGGGATCATATAAGACCAATTTGTTTTCGTGAAACCTGTAAGACAACTTTTTTACACTTGAAACTTCACAGGGAAACATTGTGAATGTAACCTTCACAGTGTTTTTGCTGTGAAGGTTAGGATTTTTTTTTACTTTCATAGTGTTTTGCTGTGAAATTTCAATTGTAAAAAAATGGTCTCATAGGTCTCACGAAAACAGTCTGGTTTCATTTGAACTCAACGCTACTTACATATATTCTTTATATTCGATGAAGTGTAAATCTTTCACCTACATGAAGTGTGAGCTCTATCGACTGATAGAGCCAATAACCATGGTAATATCTTATTCAGGGTGTGTTTGGGAATGCCTATTTGAAACTACTTATGATTTTCTACAAAAGTCTTTATCAACTTATTATAAGTTAGAATGATTTAACTTTTTCAAAAACTCTTTATTACCGGTTTGACACAGGTATAAGTTATTTATTCAAACACCCAAAAATGCTTATTACCGTTGTCACACCCGAACATGTCAATAATTTGTTTTTATAAGCAATCTCAAACACCCCCTTATTCATTTTACAAAATATTTAAATTTTATAAAGATATCAACTTTGATTGGAGGTATTTTAGTAATACAATGGACAATATATCAAAATAATATTCGACAAAAAAGAAGAGTTGGTGACTAGTCTTATGGGCCGTTTATCAAACGCTTACCTGGTAAAATTTAACATTATTATTTAATTACCGAGTAAAATTTTTGTCCACCCAAACAACATCATATGCAACAATTTACCTGGTAAGTGCTTACCGTGGTAAGAATCGTCGCCCTCACCTACCGGACAAGACTTTTGGTCCTTATCTCGCTCTTACCGGATAAGATTCTTGATTTTTACCATATTCATCCGCTAAAATAATATGACTTAGTAATGACTTACTTGAATACACGTTTGGGAAACGACCCCTAATTATTTCATACCCGTTTCTTTTTTTCTTATCAGAAACCGTTCCATTTGTCATGTCTCGCATTTCCACTTCCAATTTATTAAAATATTGTAATTAATAACTTATTTTTCTAACATTTTAATAATATATTTAATTTCGTTCGTGTAATATTTATTAATTATCTATACTATATTATAAAACATTTAATAAAAACTCTTAAAAATCATTTTTTATSCATAAAGTACTATTTATTGATGCATATTACTTAAAATTTAAGATTACAAGTAAATTGTGTGTAATTATAACTTATTAAAGTTTTATGTTTGAATTCGTGTAACTAACTGCAGATAAACATAATTAAATACATGTTAAACATTTCATTTTAATTATAAAATATCTAAAATATAATCAGGATAATTATTGAGTTCTAACAGAATACTTAATTATTATCTTTATAAAAAGTTATATGATTATACCAAAAATAAATTGCTTCGTTATTAAACTTAAAAAATTTATATTATTAAACCAAAAATTATATTATGTTATTTTTTCAAAATTTTATGTTATATTCAAATTTATATTTTATTCAAAAATAAAAATATTATCGCTTTCTTAAAACCACATAAAATCGTATTCTGACATCGATAGAGATAAGAATAAAATGAAACATTAACATCGATATGTATCTCGCTGCATTACACGAGTATCTTTATAGTATATGATTATAATGTAATTTAGGCATAAAGTATACATGTTTCTTTGAATACATAAACATTGGTATTTTAGGCATTCGACGTGAAGTTGAAGTTGGCACAAGTAGTTTGCCTGCCCAAGAGGGTCGAGCTGAACCCTAGGTTTGAAGTAGCAAGATCGAATTGAAGAAGATTGTTCTCGAGTTGGTACCCTCCGATGACGATTGACGTCCTCGGATTGGATCCCCCGTTGATGATCCCGAGGCACAATACGTTATCGTTGACTTGCACCATGGAGTTTGATCCTGTGATCATCCAGACAACGTTCTGGTTTTCCAGGACCAGTTCGATGGATGGAACTGCGGGTCCCACACGAGTGCTTAGCACATTTGATGTGCTGAAACACACGTCAAAAGGTGCTACAGATGGGACCCTGGTGATGTTTCTGATTGCGGCTTCACTAATGAAGGCTGCAGTTAGAGTATTGTAGATTGAGGTCTCGAGGATAGTATAGGGATTCACAGTGCTGATCTTAGTTCCACCATTGCCTTGGTTATCGATCGATAGCAACGAAGCGTTCAACGATAATGACTTGCTGTTGACTCTGATCGAACTCACTCCTATGAAGTATTCAGCCGACGGCTCGCCTGGACTAGACGCGCCAGTTGTGCTCACCGGATTGATAATCAGTCTTGTACGCATAAGCGACTGCGAAACATCAATATTTGGAAGGAAGTTATAAGGTCCGTCACCAAAGAAAACAACACCATCTGACGTCGTCGATGACGACAAACAAATAGCAAATTTCCGGTCAAAGCTAAACGCAGCAGCAAGCTGGGTCGGAAGCGCAATTCGCGTCCGACCCAACCCAGCCATTCCAGACACACCATTAGCAAGTCCTTGTAACAAAAACGTCGGCGCACACGAAAACAAAAACCGGGAAATATTAACGGGTCGACCAGGATTCGATCCGTCAGTAGACCGGATCTGAACCAGATCCGTGGCCAACTCACCACTAGTAGCGGTCCTAATAATAGGGTTATAAGGAGACACACCACACGTGTCATTATTGCAGCCGGGTCTAGCCGAACCGAAACAATCCCCACAGCCATCGGCTCCAGCCAATGAGCATAGGGCAGAACGGCAGCGCGCCGGCCGGTAAGTCGATGAGATGTAGTTATTATCACAATCTACCCATAAAAACTTGCCGCCGAGATCAACCACAAGGTTTTCCGGCACTAATGGAGTTTTCTGGTTGATTTGAGTGACGTATTGGCCGGTGGCGGCGTCTTTTCTCACCGGAACCACCAGTGCATCTGGCCGGAAAGACGGTTGAGCAAAGGAGAGAGAAAGAAAGAGGAAAACAGAGAATACGAGCAATTGAACGTTGGAAGAAGCCATTTTTGATCAGAGGAAGCGGTTGTGTGATGAATCGGAGGAGAAGGAATCTGAATTTATAGAAACTGACCGCCATGGAAGCTCCAGGTATGATGTGATGGAGGTTACGTGACGACAACCATGAAATCCAAAAGGTCAACGAAAACAGCTTCTAAAATCAGAAAAAGTCAAAGAATGCAAAGCAAATTTTGACTTGAAAACTATGCCATAAAATCTGTGGGTAATCCCTGAAATGATTGGAATAACAACATACCAAGCATCGTGTGAGAATAAGGGGACATTTGGTTCGTAGAATGAAATTCGATAGAATTGGAATTCATTAAATGAATTTGACTTTGAAGGAATGTAATGAAATATGATGGAATTTGACCATGCCTTGTGATTGCGTTTGGTTGCATGGAATTGGATGAAGGAAAGAATCTGTAGAAAATGAATTAAAATCCTAGCATATTGTCATGGAATTGTAAAATCTGTCCGTGAATGAATCGACCGGAATTGAAAGGATTCTATAGTCTTATTTCATGAACCAAACACTCTTTTGGAATTTGGTCAAAGGATTGGACATTCCAATTCCTTTCAATTCATTCCAATTTCCATGATCCAAACAACCCCTAAGAGTTAAAGCAGGTGATAACTGTAAGAAGGAATTTGAATTATTAATCATTTTCCATCTTAAATCAACTCATGAATTAAACTTTAAAAAAGAATTGATCTGGTGCTTCTATTGATTTAAGTGTGAAGAGCCCAACCCTGATGAGATAATAGTCGTTTATACACAATATAATGCAAATTATTAAAGCAAATTCGTTATTGATGAAATAACACGTGTCACTCTGTCATTGGTTGCAGAAACGGGTCCATATTTTTGCTTACGGCTATCTCTGTCCTCGATCTCTCACACAGGTGTTCTCCGGTGGTCTCTTACGTCGTTCTCCAGTCGGTCTCTCCTGATTCTCCACCGATTGCTTCTTCATCTCTGTCGAGAAAACCGTCTCCAAGTCTCTTTCTCCTGGAAATATGTGGCCTCCTCATTCTCCTTCTTCTCCGGTTTTGGTTTTGGGTTGGTTACAACTATTTTGGATTTATCGCCTCCTCATTCTGGATCTGGATCTGGATCTTATTTTTAGGATTTGGTTATCGATCTTGTATTTGGGTTTTAGGTTTTGGTTACTGATCTTGTATTTGGATTTTACGTCTTAAGTTTTGGTCATTGATCAAAATTTGGTTTGGGGTAGGTTACAACTGTTTGGTTACTAATATGGATCTCGTTCTCGGGTTTTTTATTTGCATAAATTTTGATCTTTTGGTTACAGATTTTGCTTACATATGTTATTTGTTTACGGATCTTCTGGTTGTAGATACTTTGGTGGTTATGGATCTTGTTGTTCATAAAAAGGTTCGATCTTTAATGTTGTTAATATCAAAGGGTAAAATAGTCATTTTATTTGTTTAGATGATTTATTCAGCAGAACAACCGAATAACAATTTAGATAAACCAATATATACAACTTTATCCATACAGATCTTAACAAAAAATGAATTGAATATGTTCTAAGGAGTTGTTTGTTTACCTCTTAATAATTTAATTAAGAGGCAATATCTGAATCACTAAGAGATGAATCTTGTTTGACAAAAAAATATGTTTCTTAATGACTCTTAAACCCTCTGTATGATTTTGTATCTTGACATCCCTTAACCATTCAACGCTCAAGTTTCATTGTAAACAATTACCAAACAATTATATTTCATTTTGTACTATATCATAAGAGTCTCTTAATCATTCTGCACCAAAATATTCAGCAACTGCCAAACAGTCCCCAAGTCTTTTTACAAAGGTAGAAGCATTAACCATCTTCGACATCAAAGTCTTGAACTTAAATTTCAGTTTCAAAAATTATATAATGACACCTAATAAAATAATATCATGACACCCTTTAAAAACGTACTTTTTCCCCCTTATCGAAAACAAAGGAACAAACTCAAAGAAGAACAACATATTATTCGTTAATTTTATTAAAATTATAAATATGTGTTTATTTGATTAAAAAAATATAAAAAATGAATTGATTAACGATTTTATTCGCGTATTTGTATGAATATTGTGATATTTTTATTATATCTTGTTAAATTACAAGTTTTAATTAATATTTTTTTTATTCTTATTGTTATTTATTTTAGATTATAAAACACAAAAAATAGATCATTTATGGGATTAAAATAAAAATCAACCATAAAAACAATAAAAAAGTAATTTTTTTTTTTTTTTGATTAACCTAGATATCCAACCCGCTATGCGAGCCGACTAATCCCAGAGCGACCATCTACGTTGCAGATAGCCCGGAGTCACCGCATTTGAACCTCCGTAGCCACAAGGGGATTTTTATTTCTTCTTCGATATGAACCTGAGACCTTCTGGTACTTTTGACTTTTGGAGCCAAACTCAAACCAATCAGACACCACTCTTTGGTTTAATTTTGACCATTGGAGTCAAGTTCAAACCAATCAGACACCACCCTTTGGTTTAATTCACTTATTTTTATATTAACTAGACGGGTTCTCGCCCAATACAGTCAGATACATCTTTATTTTAATGTTTTATTAATTTTTGTCTTTGAATACGATTCTATGTGTTTTTAAGAAATCGATAATGATTTTATTTTTGAATAAAATACAAATGTGAAGATATTATAAAATTTTGAATATAATATATTAATGTTAATATTAAACTAACTATTTAAAAGTTCTATTTTTTGTGTAACTTCTTTAATTTAATTTTTAATTATAATTTAATTTAAATATAATAACGAAGTAATTTATATTTGGTTTAATAATATAACATTTTATAAAGATAATAATTAAGTATTCCGTTATAACTCAATGATAATCTATTTATCTTAATTATATTTTATATTTTTTATATTTAAAAGTAGATGTTTATCTTGTATTTGATTATATTTATTTGCAGTTAATTACACAAATTCAAACATGAAGCTTTAATAAATTATACTTACACACAATCTAATTGTAATCTTGAATTTTAAGTAACATACATTAATAAACAATACTTTATACATAAAAAATGATTTTTAATTTTTTTTTTGTCAAATACTTTATAATATAATATATATATTTGATTTAAAAACACACCTTATCCGTTAAATATTTAATTATTTTACGATTTTTCTTCTTCGTTTTCGTGTCATGGCGTAGTTTGAATATTTCAAAGTCAAAGATTTCAATTGTATTTGAAATTATTGAATATTGGGTCAAAAGAAATTGGATGATAACATAAAAAAATAAGAGATTAAAAAATATATAGCAAGAAATACAATTAATAAAAGACAAATTAAATGAAAAAATAACGACTTTAAATTGATTCTTATTTTGGGTAACGTATTTCTAAAATTTTCATTTCGATATTTAAAATGTAAAATCTTAAATACTTGGGTAACCGGTTGAAGTATTAATCGGTTATCATGCTGATGAGCCGAGTGATGTGGTATCCAACTCAGTATTATTTGCTAAAGTGGTTAGTGACATGAATTTTTTCTAATATAAAATTAGTCTTCAACCTGTTATTCAGGTACTTAAATGTTTAAAACTTGACATCTTAGGTACCCAAATGAAAGTTTGGAAAATACGTTACCTAAAATAAAAATCAAGTTAAAATACGTTAATTTTTTTATACAATTTGTCCATTAATGAAAGATGATTTCTTTTTACCGATTGTCTTACAAATATCAAATATAACATAGACAAATAATAATGTGAATTTAACTAGAGATACATAAGTACTGATTTTTAAAGATCTGATTCAAATATTGAAAATGAATAATTGATCCAGGCTTTAACTTGTTCTAATAAAGGTCTTATGGTTGTTCGATTGTGGCTTAATGGACTGTATAGCCTATATGTCTTATTCGCTCAGCCATAACTAGCCGTTCGGTTGTGGCTTATTCGGCCAGTCTATGACTTAATCACTCACTTGGTAACACACACTCCTTTAGACTCAACCATTTAATTTTCCATTAATTCCCTAACTACCCTTCAACCTCACCCCTAAAACACGCTGCCTTCTCTTTCACGTCTCTCATCGAAATCGCCTCTTTCACGCTGTTCTGAAATCGAAGATTATCTCAAGTGTGCTAATCGATTTCTCCTAAATATGGAATCGGTCGATTTCTCAAGTGTGCTAATCGATGTCTACATAAGACAACTGATCGACGCTACTACTTCTCATCAGACACGCCTCCCTCCTCAATCAGGTAATTGATTGATCGATGTTTTCTCTCTAAACCTAGATCGATCGATTTTTGTGATATGTGATTTCGTCTACATCGATCAATCGATTTCTTTTGTTAGAAAATCAATTTCCTTTGTTAACCAGAAAATCGATTTCCATCTAGACCAACTTCACGCCAGACTCCTGTCACCATCTCAAATGTCCGTTGCTTATCTTCTTCAGCCTAAATCAAAACCAATTAAAATCAGACCTAAAATCCAAATCTGAAATCTAATCAAAACTTAGCGTTAAAATGATCATTTTCGACATTCAGACTGTTTATGCAGCAGAACAACCGAACAACAACTTGTTTGTTATCATACATACAACTTTATCTACACATGTCATAATATAAATTGAACCGAACAATTTAAATGAGAATTATAATTATTTTATGAGTTTGAAACCAACTATTTCATTAGTTATTCATGATGAATAACCTTTAATTGTTCATGATATTTATTGTGAATATCTATTGCAATATTTGTCATGAATAACACTTGGTTTCCAAGTTTCTAATATTCACGGTTCCAGAATTGATTAGCCATTGATGTATTGGTCCCGATAGATTACAGAAGTACTTGTTTTCATGTTTGTGACTAGACGTTGGTTATTTTGGCCTCTTCTTAACATAATTGTCACTCAACAACCGCTATTGTTCACGATGTCGAAATGAGGCAAAGCGATGCGTAGGTCTGTTAATCAGTTGACATTCATTGGATTTGAGGGGAAACGAACCGATCCAATCATTCATTGGATGTTGGATTTTGCCAACCGAGCTGATCCGATTAACATTGGATAACCGATCCAATCCAATCTAATTGATGATTGGATCGGTTCGGTTCCATCCATTGGATACTTTTATTGGATATCCATCAGATATCCAATGGATGATTCGATGGAATTGAATTCATCTAGTGTGTTAATTCAATCCAATTCTCTGACAATGATACAAACTAATTAATCACTTTTAATATGTGTTAAAACCAACACAAGGATGGTTAAAAATTCAAAGTCTCACATAAAACAAATCTCGATTTAAACAATTTGAAAATAAATTAATTGGATGATGGTTGAATGGACAACTGGATGATTAATTGGATGTTGATTGGTTCGGTTCGTTTTGGTCGGTTCTAGACTGTCATCTGAGAACCGACCGATCCAAATTGGAAGTTGAATTTTCAATCAAATCCGATCCAATTACAATTGGATATCCAATTATAGTTGATCATTTCTAATTGGATCAATCAGTTTCAATTGGATCGGTTGATTTTTTGCACACCCCTAACAACGAGGATTCACAATAAATTAATAATCAGGTCCGAGAATATAAGCAACTATTGTCACAAATGAAGAATAAGAAGGAAGAGAGGAGGAAAAGCAATACACGCATCTTGATAAATTTATTTGGCTTTTAAAAAATTACATATAATCGATCCTGGAAATTATATAAAAATAAATAGAAGACTTATATTTAAAAGATTGTTTGTCAGTTGCTAAATGGTTTGATGCAAAATGATTAAGATGCTCTCATGATATATTACAAAATGAAATATAATTGTTTGGTAATTATTTACAACAAAGTTATGGAGCTGAATGGTTAAGGGATGTCCATGATACAAAATTATTCAGATGATTTTAGAACCATTAAAAGACAAACTTTTTTTTTCCAAACAAGATTCATCTTTTAACAATTCAGAGATTGACTCTTAATGAAACTATTAAGAGATAAACAAACAACACCTAACTAATAAAAGAGGTTTTCTTGGACATTTTTTGAGGTTTCCTGACGATTTTAGCTTAAAACATGTCCAACTTATAACAATAAAGGTGGAGCGTTTAACATGCTTGTAAAATGAGTCAAAATGCTTTGTTTTTAAAGCAATTTAATTAAATGCACTTTAAGTATTTTTTTTAAAGTGTATAATATTTATATACGATAAATAAAACAAATAAATTCATACATTCTCTTCATATTTGGTAAGGTTTGAACCCTTGACCTCCCTTCCTAAAAGGTCAAAGACTCATAGTCTCACACACTGCTAGGACAAATGCTCTCTAGTTTAATTTTTATTTTTCATATTATTTGTTATAAAAATATAAGAAAAATAAGTTGAATATTTGAAGAAGCGTAATTTCGGGTTGGCTTGAGAGTTTAGTTTAGAGATGCACAAAGCTTGGACCTTCCAAGCTTGTTTTCAGTGAATAATAAAAAGGTCCGGACTTTTGTAGGTTATATTGCATGAAAAATTAACGTACTTTAATTTGATTCATGTTTTGGTTAACGTACTTTCAAAACTTTTATTTTGGTACCTAAAATGTAAAGTTTTAATTTGATTCATGTTTTGAAAGGGCAAATTGAATGAAAAAGTAACGTACTTTAATTTGATTTATGTTCTGGTAACGTACTTTTAAAACTTTCATTTTGGTATCAAAGATGTAAAACTTTAAACATTCAAGTACCAGAGTAACTGGTTGAAGCATTAACCGGTTATCATGTTGATGTGGCGAGTGATGTGATATCTAACTCAGTATTATTTGCTAGCGTGGTTAGTAACATGGATTTTTTTAATCTAAAATTAGCATTCAACTGGTTACCCAAATACTTAAATGTTTAAAACTTTACATTTTATGTACTAAAATAAAAGTTTTGAAAATACGTTACCTAAAATATGAATCAAATTAAAGTACGTTATCTCTTCATACAATTTGTTTTTTTTGAAATTACAATTTCCAATTTCTATGATTTACAATGCTTTTTTCCGCTCTTGTAGTTTGTTGAAATTACTATTGAAATTACATTTTCCATTTTTGTGTCTTACAAGTTGCTCTAGTTTATAATTTATTACTATTTTCGTCCCTCATATTTAACAGTATACCACTAACGGAGTTAGTCTTCGAGGACAAAAATAACAATAAGTTACAAACCATAAGGACTAAAACTGTGATTTTAAAAGTATAAGGACGAAATCCGCAATATTTGACAATCCACAGGAACTAAAATCGTAGTTTAGTCAAATAAAAAACATGCTCTGCCATTTCTGTTGCATGTACGTTCAGAAAACACACGCAGAAGAAAAGCAGCGACCGTCTGGGCTGTGCCAACATTCGAAACCCCAAAAACCGCAGTTGCATTTCTACCAAAACCCTAATATTATTAGTGCTCCGTAAGTCTATCTCCATTAATCTCTTACTTTCTGCTTCACTTTTGCCGATTCTTCATGTTGTAAGGGCCTGATTCATATCGTGATTCGTGTTTATTCACGGTATGAGCATTGATTTTTATCATTTTTATTCAGAATCGTGTTTCTGATCTTAATTATATGCAGTACTTGTTTCGTTTTCGTGTTCTTAGTTAAGTATGGTTATTTTTGGATTGAATAATGAATATTCCATCAATACGAAGCTACATTTATGTATTGTGAATTGTTAATATCATAAATTTCATTATAGGATTATATCGTTGTGTGTTTGATCTAGTTTATCGCTAAAGAGAAATATAAGAAACTTGTAATCTGAAGACTAAATTTACAGCAAATGAATAATCTCTTATTCCCATGAAAATTGTTGCAACAGTGGTCACCTTAAGATGCCTCTTATTCTGTTATTCATTACAACTTATAATTTGTGTATCAACTACTTGTTGAGTTAAGTGTTGCAAAACATTTAAGAGGAAATTAACCATACTTTCGCAACCTATGTTCATTGATCAGTCGACTTTTTTCCCAATCTGGAACGGAATCTTGCCAATTGTTTATGTGCAAGCATATAAGTGGAACAACGAACTAGTCATTTAAAGAAGCAATTATTTTAGAAGAACACGGTATGGAAATTAGACTTTTCATATTCTAGCATAATCTAAAGTTATTTATATTTTATTATGCTTAGGCGCGCTTAACCCCCTGCTTAGGTGATTGAGTGCTAGAACGTCACTCGGCTGCCTAGCTCTGTTTAGTGCTTTCTAGAAAACTAAGTTAAACACTCCATCAATATGCTCGTGTAGGTGATTGTTGACATGTTTAGAGATTTACTTATGTGGAAATATGGATATGGAAGAAAGAAAGAACTGCGGTTTGCCCTTTGTTTAGTGACATTTACCTTCTATCTTTGATTGCTGGAGTTATGTCAAGCTGTACTACTTACTACTAGTTCTGCTCTAAACTAATAGTCCAGTTTAAGAACTTGTTCAATGTTGAGGGATGTGTTACTGCAAGTGCTGACCTTCAACCGATTTGGGTCCTTTTTCACTTGAAGACACCCTTTTCTCACTCAATTAACATTAAGAACTTTTCATACCGGCGGAGTATCAATTAAGAGTTCTGAGAATATTTTATTCTTATCAGTGTATGGACAGCTATCTCTCGAGCACAGGTTTAGGTTCGGCCTCAATGGGAAAATAAAATGGAGCACCTAACAAGATACTATTTCAGCAATCGAGTCACAGGTTCCAATATCAATAGGTTGATTGTTTCGCTCCTGTATCTTCCAAAAGGAAAAAAAATATAGCAATCCTTATGAACTAATTGTTCTACACTTCTTACTTGGTGTAGCTTGTTACATTCAGTAGTTCCTCATATAAAATTATTGACTCTAGAGATATAGTATCTTTCCGTGGCACCGGTACTAAGTACTCTATGGTTCGCTTCTTGAATTGGGGCCTCGCAATCACTATTTTATCTCATGCCTTTCTTCGTTCATGGTTCGATATTCTGGTGTCCAGGCTAAATACTCCTGGGTGACCGATAGCGAAGTAGTACCGTGAGGGAAGGTTCTTTTCTTTCCGTCGAACTTGACTCTGCTCGGGGAGCAAGACTAGATGACATTCTTTTATGTGAATTACTTCTTTCCCTGGAACTTGACTCTGCTCATGGAGCCAAGATGCATTTATCTTTTCTTTTATAGCATAGATCATTTGCACATAATTTTAGAAGTTAGATTTGAGCATCACCATGTGAAATGCTTCGTGTGAACTTTTCTACTTTGATGCACTGTTTGCGGTTTCTTTTTGTTGGCATGAACTTAAGGCATCTTCTTGTTTGCATGACCTTTGCTAATGCAATTGGTTTTAACGATTATCATCCATGCAGTTTTCGCATCAGATAATATGGATGAACATGTTCTTCCAAGTGATTCTGATTTGCAGTTGTCCTCATCTACATTAGAAGGAAATTTCAATTATGTATCCATGTTAGCTGAGAATACTTTATACCAGCCGCATATCGATAAAACAGAAGATTATGATGGCTATTCTGTTCCTCAATGGATTGGATACCAGCAAATGGCTCCCTACTACGTTGAGTATCTTGCGGGAAATGCTATTTCTGACATACAAGGAGAATTATTGTATAACAACACTGGAATCGGATGCAGTTTTACACCTGTGGAGTCTTTCCACAGCATGGATGCCCATCAGGTAGAGCCGCAGAGGTGTCGAATCATATGCTTGATTGCCATATCATGAATCTTCACTTAGATTTATTTTGTGCATGATGAATGATTGTGTGTGAATACGAGTTAAGGTGAGAAGCATAAGAAGGGATCTGGATCCTTCATCACTTTTAATCTCAACCCCACCTGATGAATTGCGCTTATCACGGGAATTGATCCGGTGCATCTCGGTGCACCGCATTAGTGTTGATCTTCAATTAGGATTTATCCAAGGGTGGAGATCCTTCTTACCCTTCTCACCATGACTTCCATTCTCATTGGAACGCAACCCTTTTGTGCATTTTATCCAACATGATGTCATATATTTGCAACCTCACGTCTACTAGAACTTGATATGGATACATAAGATTCCATCTATAATCTCAAATATGTAAAATAGAATATTCAAATGAAGAAGTGCCCACGAACAAATTTATATATGGGCACACAAGTACTGCATCTTACAGGTAAACCATTTGCGGGTGCAACATAAGGAGTGCCCGTGAACAATTTTATAGATACACGACATGAAATATGCTATCAGGTCACTCAAAAATCAAGTTCCTTCCACTATAATGTTGCACATGAAGATCTATCTTTTTGTTCTGTTTTCTTACTGATTATTGCATTAATATCCTATTTAGCTATTTTATTATACTTGACAGAAGCAAGGGCCGGATGAAGGCCTAGATAACGCTGCTCAAAACCAGCCAAACATGTCAGCCTCGACCTCGGGTATCTTAACCAAATCACGCAAGACATATTTGAGACAGAAGGCCTCGGATACAGACCGTGTAAGTCTAACTTCCTAACCAGAAATCCATATCATGTTGGCCATATTAAGATCACATCTAGTTACACACCACATCTAGAATACCATTTTGTTTTTACTTACTGATCATCTTTGCCATGTCCAAAGAAAGTTGCAAGTTTGTTTTGGTACAACATGCAAGCCTCTTGCACAAATGCATACAGTTTGTTAGCTTGCTTGTTTATCATTTCAGCGTCGCAGAACAAGGATTGCAGCAGCACTGGATGCATTGGAGGATTTGCTTCCAGAGTCTAAAGAGGTAATATGCATAGTCATAAGACAGACATACATACATACATACATACATACATACATATATATATATATATATATATATATATATATACATATGTGTGTGTGTGTGCGTGTGTGTCCTGCAGTTTACCAATAAAAATGTTTCATGATAATTCGATCTCAGATAACAGGACAATTTACTAGGGTATAAGCCTATTATTTTACGCTAGTAAACAGCCTCAAAATCTGTGAACGAAATCATATTTTGAGCATCAAAATAAAACCTAATTCTCAAAACAGACCTATGTTTTATTAATATAACCTCAAAATAAAACCTAATTCTCTTCTAAAAAATCAAATAAACCTCCCTCTTTACATTTTATTCTTTAACTTTTATTTATTGTATTTTATGCTATTTAAACTTTCACTTTACTGTCCTCAAAATATTATTGTTATACGGTTTCTTTATTTTGGTTGATTTGTGTAATTTATTAAATATTGATGATAAAGAAATAATATAGAAAAGGTCTAAAATAAAAATTTGGAAACTACATAAACTTTTTCTTTTGGTCATTTATTCTGTTCTTACTTGACCAGTTCTGTCATACCATACGATGAACAGTTATCCTGTCCGGATGCCAAACGCACCCTTGAGGATTAATCAAAGTTTCTTCGAAGTCCGTTGCATTTTGTCAAATGCAATCCAATTCACTTAATCTAGTTGGTCCATTTCTGCAGGGAAATAAAACAAATATAGTTGATGATTGCATAGACTATATAAAGTGTTTGCAGCTTCACCTGAAGGTAAGTTTCACATCCTGCTGTTGTCTGCACATGATATGCAACTTAACTACTTACCTACTTGTTTCTTTTTATGCTCAACCAAAGCATACTTCATACATGATTGGCATAAATATTCTAAAACAGCGGTTTAATAAAATCTTTATACCTTGTATTATTGCAAAAACTTTTAGGGCCTACTTGTTTGCAGCTTAATGAGCATAATGAGACTCACAGCTTATTCGGTCAGCTATACATGACTATTTGGTAGTGGCTTAATGAAATGGAAAGTGGCTTATTCAGTTAGCTTTTAGGAGGGAGCTTATTGCAGAAAGCTAAATTTAATCCAAACCTCCCAATTAAAAAACACGCTCGTTCAATCTATGAAAATACTCTCCCAAACAAAAACCTTCCCAATATATACAGACAGATTAATCCACACAGCCAGCTTTATCTATACATTACTCAATAGAAAACCAACCAAATAGTCCCTTATATCATGATGGCTATAGATGTATAGATGAGCTTTAGAAGAAGTCTGGTTTCTGTACTTGATTGGCTGTTGAGTTTTGAAGTTTACAAATTTTGCTTATAAATCCTAAGCTCTCTAAGTGATTAGAAGAATCCCATGGTGCAGGAACTGAGTCAGAACCGACTGGGAGGTGAACCAACTTCTAATCACTTAGCGTACCTTGAGGTACGTCCCACAATGGTTTGCTTGATGAATGCTTTTTTTGAAGTATATAATATTTATAAATGGAAAATACTCATGCACACTTCTCACTTTTGACTTCCTGGAAGGCTGCGGTCGTTGGGCCAACGACCCTTTGTTTTGATGAATGCTTACATGGAAGACATAATTGATGGACCAAATCATTCCAACTTCTGTATAAGCATTTATTAACCGTAAGAGTACATTTGTAATTTCATTTTGATTAGATGTCGGTTCAGTCCATTCACTTCAGTTAGATGTTTGTTTGTTAGAGTTTCTCATATAAATAGAGGGTTTATTCATGCATTTGTAATAAATCAAAGAAATACAAAATCAAAGAATTTTCTGTTTATATTATAAACTCTAACAAACTAACACCCACCTAACCAAAGTGAACTGACATCTAACCAAAATGAATTTACAAATATACCCTTACAATTCATAGCATTTTTAACATGGATTTCCATGAATGTCGATTATGTGTTCCAGTTTCATCGTTGGTGAGTTCGATTTACAGGGATATGGGCATTACCTTGTTCATGAAAACACAGCTAGTGGACCGCTGCAAGACATGATGGCAAAATTATTGGATGGGAACCCATCTGCAGCAACCAAACTGCTAGAGAGTAGAGGTCTTTTCATGATGCCTAATGCTCCTAATTGACCATCTGGTAAACAACTGAGACGCCTTACTAGCAAATTTGTTCATGAGCTCTAATACCCTTTACTTTTATGCACGTATTTCTTAGTTTTATTAGCAAACAATATGCTTAGAGATAGTCGTGGTTATAGAACCAAACTAAGGCAAGATTTCAGTGGATTGGTATTATATTTAAACCCCGTTTTGCCATTCGTTTAGTCATCAGTAACATGCCTTTCTGGTCAATTGTAAAACAGTGTTATGATACTCGATGCTGAGCTCGACTAGAGTAGCTCCAGTCAGGTTGTTGGGTATTTTTCCTGATATGTTAGATATAAGAATAAGTGGAGCCCTAGATTAATCTCCAAAAGAGCCCTTGAGGAGAGAAGAGAGGTTCCGACATATATCGAGGAGAATGGTCTAAATCTAACCGATATGAGACTCCAACATGCCCCCTCCGATGCAGACTAGATTGTCGCAGAGTGTCAAGAGGGTGCTAGACGAGTTCAAATTGCTCCAGAGCGTTCCTCAGAGTGGTAGATCTTTAGCTCTGATACTATTTGAAAACAGAACCATATATTACTTTTTAACAGATCCCTTTAGGAGATAAAGGAGGTTCCAACTTATATTTAGGAGAAATTCTCCTAGTTAACTGACGTGGGAATCCAACACGCCCCCTCCAATGCAGACTAGATTGTTCCAAAGTGTTGAGAGGGGGCCAGACGAGTTCATAATTCCCTAGAATATCAAGTTAATGGTAGACCTTGGCTCTGATAGCATGTGAGAGTATGTGGAAGCCTGTATTACTTACCAAAAGAGCCCTTCAGGAGATAAGAGAGGTTAGAACATATATTAAGGAGAAATGGTCTAAACCTAACCGAACGTCCCCTCCAATGCAGACCAGATTGTCCCAGAGTGTTGAGAGGGGGCTAGACGAGTTCAAATTGCCCTAGAATGTCAACTCAGTGGTAGCCCTTGGCTCTAATACCATGTGAGAAGATAAATGATTCAAGTCTAGTCGATGTGAGACTCCAACAGTAATAAAAAACACTTGAAAGGTCATAAGGACACTATAATTTGGCTTTATTGTCCTTTGAACCGGCTTTTATCGAGTTGATTCTAGTATATAGATACACCCATGCTCGTTTGTTGAGCCGGTCGGACTTAAACGAGCTAGTGAAACCGGATTCCCGGATAAGGCCGATTCGCTTGCAGTTTTATGTCAAACAAATGGAATCAAGAGAGTGTTTGTGGTGATGGTGGTAAGGTCATCTAATCTTAGCAGCAGCAGAAGTAGAATAGAGGACCACAAACAAAAAGAGAGGACAAAAAAAAGTACTAAGAAAGACAATTTTGTTTGCATCCCCTCCCCTTGCCTTTGCCCACTATTCCAACAAAGGGTCAATATAATCTTTTTGAGGCATTTATTCCATTTTTGACATTGCCCCCAACCCCTCCCCACCTGCCTTTTAACCCTTTTATTTTCATGTAAACAACAGTAATATCTGCATACATCTTACCTTTTGACATTTTTTATGTGTGAGATTTACTGAATTAATTTGGTTTTTATGAAAATAAACATTTTTTATTAAAAAAACACTATTTTGTTTTAAGAGCAGTTGAGTTATGCAGAAACCGACTCAAATACGGGTAAGCGTTTATCAAGTCATATTACGTCACCGGATGAATATGGTGAGGACCAAAAATCTTACCCGGTAAGAGCAAGACAAGGACCAAAAGTCTTATCCGGTAAGTGACGGCGATGGCTCTTACCACGGTAAGCGCTTACCGGGTAAATTGTTGCATACGATGTCGTTTTTGTGGATTAAAATTTTACCCGGTAAGTAAATAATAGTGTTTAATTTTACCGGTAAGCACTTATCGGGTGAGTGTTTGGTAAATGGCTCCGTAGTTTGGGATTTACATCCTACCTCTAGACCCTATATGTGTGGGATTTACCGAACTAATTCGGTTTTTATAAAAATACATATTTTTCTTTGAAAAATCACTATTTTGTTTAAGATCGGTTGAGGTATGCAGAAGCTGATCCGGATATGGGATATCCATGGTTTAACGAATTAGTTTGGTATTTACATCCTATCCCCAGACACTATATATGTGTGGAATTTACTGAATCAATTTGGTTTTTATAAAAATTTACTATTTTGTTTAAGATCAGTTGAGATATGCAGAAAATGACCTAAATACAGCATATCCATAATTTAACGCGTTTGGGATTTATATCTTACCTCTACACGTTATCTGTGTGTGGGATTTATTGAATTAGTTTTTTATTTATTTATAAAAATATGATAGTACAGTAAGAAAATACGGCACCACTATTGTTCCCTGTAGTGAATAGTTTAAACCCCTTTTAGTGTTACTAATACGTTTGTCTAACTGTTAACTTTAAGATCTTTAAAATCAGTTCAAATATATACAAACTGATCCAGATAGATACGGGATGTACACAACCATAAAAAAAATCAGTATTTTTTTTACATTATTTAAAAAATAGTTGTAAACATAAAATGGAAAAATCAGATGTTACATGTGGTTACCAAACAAAGCCAAAGAATCTATGTTTTATTCGGTTTGAAATTTCATTTTTTTAAAGAATATTTTAATTAAATCTATGATCTTCCAATCTACTAAAGAAAAATTAGTCAACATGTATTAAGCGGAAAAAAAAGAGGGAACATAATCACTTTCTTTCAATGCCTTGGGGATTCGAGAGTGTCGGTTGGAGGGCCATTGCTCAACGGGACAAATAGTCACGGTCCTACAACAGTGGGCTAACTCCAAAAACCCTTCCTTAATTCATATTGCAAATTCCAACTTGCAAATTCCAACTTGCATGCAAGAAGTCAAAATTGCGTACGATTTCACGAATTTAATAGATTGATTTTGATGTTTGAAAACACGATGAATATTATTCAATTTATGCATGTTTAAAATCACCATGAAAAACCCAGAAACAACATTATTATTAGGGCAAATTGTATGAAAAAATAACATATAACGTACTTTCAAAACTTTCGTTTTGGTACCTAAAATGTAAAGTTCTAAACATTTAAGTACATGAGTAACCGGTTGAAGCATTAACCGGTTACCAAGCTGATGCGGCGAGTAATGTGGTATCCAACTCATTATTATTTGTTGAACCATTAACCGGATACCACATCAACATGATAACCGGTTAATGCTTCAACCGGTGATCCGGGTACCTAAATGTCTAAAACTTTACATCTTGGGTACTAAAATAGAAGTTTTGAAAGTACATTATTCAAAATATGAATTACGTTACTTTTTCATGCAATTCGCTCTTATTATTAAACGGAAACTTAAAATTATTCAAGGAAATTACAACATCTCCAATAGATTTTTTTAAACAGAGAAAATAAAGATTTTTTAAAATAATTTTCTTCTAAGAGATTCTCAAAATGGAGAACACATGAGAGATGATGTCAAATTCTCCAAATTTAGAGAAGCCCCAAAAAATTATTAACATGAAAAGAGAAACAATTTTTATTATATTTTCACCATTAAAAAATCTTGATGTTAAATTTTTACACCCCAATTTTCATTAGGGTCGTAATGTTACTTCACGACTTAAAAGTAGGTATGGCAACGGGGCGGGTTTTGTAATCCCCGGCCCCGGTTTTTAGTAACAACCCAGGTCCCGCCGGGTATGGGGATTAACATCTCGTCTCTGGTCAAACCCCATGAAGAATATCCCTTAGTTTGAGTCTACTGGGGCCCAGGACCCGTTTTAGCAGGGAATCCTCGTCCACGTTCGGGTCGGAGCAATTCACCATCCTTACTCAAAAACATATAAATAATCTATCACATCACAACAGAAGACTTACACATCATAATTTTTGCACTTAGACATAGAATGCGGATTCATACCACTTCAACTTAGAGAGAACCAATGCTACATGGCTTAGATTATGTGAACTTGGTTCCTACAACCTAGGTCTTACGTTCTCACATCATACCGTTACTCTTATTTCTCACTCTTGCCACATCCTGATATACACGCTAACGTTAGCTTTACGCTAAGTAGGTTCATGGTTTCGTCATTTCATTTATAAATCATCACAACAATGAAAATTGGAAATAAAATCATTTATATAATAAAACATTCATAAAAATCAATGCATTCAAACATCTCATGCAAATATCGTACGTTCAACTTGCCATCACACTAAAGATCTCATACGTCCATTTTATATGGTGGAGCTCTGCGGATCCTACCATTTCTAGTCAACTCAGAGGTTCTTGCAGGCATATGTCTTGACTAACGTCCCATAATGCAGTCTCAGAGGTAACCTTTCTGATATATGTACTGACAATCAATCATCATATGCGATTTCCCGCCATCCTCTATTGGTAACCCGGATAATGAGCCCCAAACTTATAACCACATCACATCTTTCTGATTTAATCATTCATTCATATGCAGTATGCAATTCGTACGGTATTATATAAATATAACATGCTCGTAAATATGTCATATCATATACGATGCCTAGCATCACTAGCATGCAAAACGAGTTTATCAAATCACCTGCAAATAAACATCACAATCATACTCGAAAAACAATTACGTACACGTGTATCTCACATCCAAAAGTCATCTCGATTAAACGTAGGTTTACCCATTACTTGATACCTCAAGCTCTTATGTATACAGAGGTTGTTTGTTTACCTCTTAATGGTTCTGTTAAAAGGCAAGCTCTGAATTATTAAGAGGTGAATCTTGTTTGACAAAAAAAAAAGTCAGCCTCTTGATTGTTTTAAAACCACCTGAATAATTTTGTATCATGGGTCTTCCTTAACCATTCAGTGCCCTAATCTCATTGTAAACAATTACCAAACAATTATATTTCATTTTGCATTATAGTATGAAAGGCTTTTAATCATTCTGCACCAAATCATTCAACAACTGTCAAACAACCCCTATAGTCTATTTACTTTAAAGACCATATCAAACTGCATGATTTTAGGGTGTTACATAA